GATCCAATTGTTGTTCTCCGTTTAAAGCGAATAAGCTTCTGCTGACAGCACGTAAGTTCCATGAGGGGTTCACCCGATCGCTGAATCAATCAAAAAGTTTTCGACTTCGATAGCGCCATCAGCTGATCGCTCGCTGCTGCGACGGACGGCCAGCGTTCGAAATTCCCTTTTCTTTCTCGAATTGTTTCGCGAGAGCACAGACATGATCGAGGCGTCAAGTGAGCGGAATCGTTCGGATGTATCGAGCCTCACGCTCCTGTGACGTTCAGCTGGCAAATCGGAGGCTGACACGGATTCCGTGGCTCGATCAGAGCTGCGCGGAGTCGCTGGCCCGGTCTCGACAGAGAGCCTCGCGAGTCTCTTGCTTTAGGCGATGCGTCTCTGAGCTCCTGGAATTCCACCGTCGAGTCCACGCCGATGCTTGGGAGCGGAGCGTCATCACGGAATTCTGTCGGAAGTTCCAGAGGCGACCTTAACCACAACAGGTTGTTTCCGCGCTATCGAGCACCGCGAGTCCGTCCTATCTTGCGATAGGAATCAATTGTTACTGATGACGATCGTCGAAAGGAGCATCGTATCGATCGAAAGACAGTTGAGACCGTGATCCATCCGAGTTTACCCGAAAACGGGAGTGTTGTCTCGTTTCTATAGGGGAGTAGTTGCTTCTCGATGCACGGGAACCGTCTCGCATGCTGAATGGCGACTCTGGAACTTCGCGGAACTCTGACTGATCGGCCGCATCTCATTGATGATCAAGATCCGTCCGCGGCTGATTCGCATTGCCCATCGCCAGGGAAGAATCGAGGTCGACAGAATCAAATATGTATCCAAAAGCGTCGAAGTTCGCTAGGCCTATCATTCTCCTGTCAGCACAGAGAGCTTCGCAAAGGAGTTGTTGAGCGTTCCGTGATGCCGGAGCCATCTGAAAAGACTACCGGATGGACCAATCAGTCTCGTTCCATTGGAGGATCTTCCTCCGTACGGACGCGCTCCAAGGTCGTGTCCAGCCTCGCTCGCACGCATCACCGACGTCAGAACAGCTTTCGGGTGGAATACGATGCATCGGAGATGGTCTTCCCTGAAAACTCTTAAGGTCGCTCCCATAACTCGAAATCGCCCGGAGTGGGGCGGGAACAGGGGAGGGTCACCGCGCGCTGGATCTCGTTTTGTCGAGTACGAGTCGGGCTATCAGGAATTCCTCTTCGAATCATCTCACAACTTCCCATGCTGATCCCTGCCAGTCTCGAGGGGAAAGAAGGATCCCAGTTCCGCTCCTAGAAAGACCTTCGTACCTACACAGAGTCTGTCGAGCTGATCGCATCCGACCCGGAACTCGACGGGATAGCGGCGGCTCTTGTGATCGCATGCAAGCCAAGGCTGGCGCATGCCCCACGTAACGTCCTCTCATTCGTTTTTCTTCCATCTAAATCCGAAACATGCCCAGAGCCCAGACAGATCTTCCTTCCCAGGGATGCTATCGACATTCTCCAAGCTCGGGGTACGGCCATTAGCCGCTGGGGCTCGATGCTTGACCTCTTTGTCAGAGCCCTCGGCTCCTCACTTAGTGACGTCATCCATACCGGGACCTCGGAGCCTACAACTCAAAAAGGAACTCCAGGACATTCAGAACGCCGATGCGGTACAGCTGTTCGTCGACTACGAGAAATCTATTGGGAACTACCTAGTGGACGCTGATGGTGAGTCCACGCTGTTTGGTAGCGTCAACTCATACTATTCGTTCCGCGTGAACGGAACCATGATTCGAGACCTAAATTGCAGGCAATACGTTTTTGGATTGTTACACGCAAATCTCATCCTTGCCGCTGGGTTACAACCATCCCGCAATGATCCAAGCTGTGACCAGTCCGAAGAACATCTCTACATTCGTAAATCGGCCAGCGCTTGGGATTCTGCCCCCAGAGAACCACGTCGAACGTCTGAGGCATTCGTTGCTGTCAGTCGCTCCGGCGGGTCTCTCGGAAGTTCAAACCATGGCCTGTGGTTCTTGTTCGAACGAGAACGCTTTCAAAGCTGTTTTCATCAAATACATGGCCGACCAGAGGAACGGCAGAGCGCCTAGTCCCGAAGAACTGGAGAGCTGTAGATACAATAAGTCACCGGGGTCGCCGAATCTATCCATCCTGTCCTTTGACGGATCGTTCCACGGGCGTACTTTCGGATGTCTCTCGACGACGCATTCGAAGCCCATTCACAAATTAGACATTCCGTCTTTCGATTGGCCGATCGCAAAATATCCAAGGTAATGGCTCGCGAATTCTCGATGAGCAGTCTGACGAATGAGCGATATGTTTCGCGTAATTTTCCTAATCAGCTACATAAATTCCGAATCATTATTTCGTCCCAGGTACAAGTTCCCTCTCGAGCAGAATGTGGCTGAAAACGCGGCCGAGGACAAGAAATGTCTCGCGCATGTGGAAGAGTTGATCGAGGAGTGGTCGAAGAAAGGAAGTCCAGTGGCTGGACTCATTGTGGAGCCCATCCAAGGCGAGGGGGGAGATAATCGAGCGTCAGACGAGTTCTTCCGTGCTCTCAAGGACCTGACCGAGAGAAAAGGTTCGTCGGGTGTACAGTGAGGATGTCCTGAGCTCGGAATCCTGAGCAAGATCGCGAGGGACCTTGTCTGATGGTGGAAAGCTCCCCGGTTTTTAGAAATTATGTCTTGCAGGTGTGATTTTCATCTGCGACGAGGTACAAACCGGATGCGGCCCAACGGGCAAATGGTGGGCTCATGAGTATTGGGGCATGAGTACTCCACCCGACATTGTGTGCTTCTCGAAGAAAATGCTCACGGGAGGATATTATTATAAGACGGAAGTCAGACCGAAAGAAGCATACCGAATTTTTAACACTTGGGTGCGTTGCGATCCAGCCGATCAGCAAGACGATTATGAGGAACCGAATCACGTCGCTGATGCCTTAGAGGTTCCTAAAGAAATTTTTCCGCTCTAGGTCGGCGATCCGACGAAACTTCTACTCCTGGAAGAGGTCATCAAGGTTGTTAAACGAGAGAATCTCCTGAAAAACATCCAGGAAAGCGGTGCGGCAATGTTGAACGGGATGCTCGAGCTTTCGAAGAAATACCCCGCCATGAGCAACGTTCGCGGACGGGGTGAGTGCCGTGAGCTGGAGCAGAGGCATGGCTCGACTCGGTGGAGAGTAGAGCTCCCGCCGGTCTTCTCTGAAGTATAGGCTGGGACTCACTGGAACGATTTCTTCCAGGGACCTTCTGCGCCGCTGATATGGCTACCCCCGGAGATCGGGATAAGCTCGTGAAGCAGCTGCATCTTCAAGGAGTACATTGCGGCGGCTCCGGAGAGAAGTCTCTCAGGTTGAGAACGGCTCTCACATTCCAGAAGAAGCACGCCGACCTCTTCTTAGAGCGACTCGAAACAGTTCTCAAAACCTTTTGATTGCGCACATTGTCTATCGGACCCCGAGCGTTGACTGGATAGCTCCCCAGGGCAGCTCGAATTAATGTGCTTACTCGTCGCTATCGTTCCGTTGATTTTGAGGCTGGTGGTTCGATAGAAGATGCAATACGAGGTCCGGAGGATAGGACCGGGCGATGAGTTGCGTCGATGTAGCGACTTTCGATGCTGCCAATGGTGAAGTGGCCAAGCGAGGTTCCATCCCAATTTTGACATTCCGAGAGCAGGCTATACGGAACCCCGTACTAGGAAGGACCTTTTGTGAAATAAGTCATTGACTTCTCGATTATCATTATATCGGGACCGTCGCCGAAAGCAAATCACGACCAAGAGCTTCCTTCACTAACGAACCAGAATTAAAATAAATGACTATCGTCGAGAAAAAGATGCATATCGCCCCGCCAAAGTTTTTCCGGAGGCGATTCCGCCAAAAACAAAATCGTTTCACGATTCCGAAACCAATATAAGTATTTACGACTCGGGAATTTCTTCCTGATATCGTCAGACTGTCACAGATCGTATTTTCATGCCAATTGGAGGTGGGCGAGGAGCACAAATCGATTCGGAGTCCGTCTTCGCGGTCCTCTTCTCGGGGACTGACTTCATTTTCAGAGAAGGAAATCATTCGCACCACACAGGTTCGGCAGCAAACATCCATCATGAGGTCGTGGGCGGGCGGAGTTTTTTTCGCAGAGTCAATTGAATAACACCATCGATTGATGCAGCGAGATTCATACCAATGTTCATCATTTGGCTATAGCTCCCTTCGCTGCATGTCTTCATTCGAGTGCCCGTTCGACGAACAGCCCTGCCGGTGGCAGTTCCGAATCTCGCAGAAATACAGTCCCGTGAGGCAAGATGCTAATCCCTTTCCGGTAGTTGCAGGGGATATCAGGGAAATACACTTCTGGTATCCATTCCGGAAATATTCTCTTGCTGAGATTCGATTGAAGTCCATTCGGGATTTTGCTCAATCGGGATCCGATGGCTTTCTGTGAGTTCGCGTCAGCCCCTCAAGCGAGCGAGCTTTGGTGGGATCTTCAAGTGGATCTTGACGCTCTCACATTTGTTTGTCCCCATCGCAGCTATCCCACGCGAATCCGCTAAGGGAGAAGTCGAATTCCAGATTAGAATCGACGACGTTTTGTATCACGATGGGAACCCTGAATGGAATTCCGATCCACGGGGCTCGGATGAACTTCCTGTTCAGAAGTAACACTACGGTGACGACGAGCCGAGCCCCGAATTATCATGTGGTCACCTTCCGGCTCTTCTCGATATCGATCAAAGGGTTTGCTCGCTCGATTTTTTCCCACCCCGATCGACTCGAGAAATATTTTTCGAGAGGCATCCGGACGCTCGGTGAGAGAGATCATCGGTCGAAACTCCAAACAAGCTCAGAATGCAACTCGAGACTCACTCAAGTCGGAACTAATTCAGATTCGATTTGGAGTTTGCTGTAACGGGGCAAAGCAGGGCGTATGTGTTTAGCTCGAGGGCGACGTGCTGTCCGAAGATGCTTCCCACAGGCTCTCAAACAGGAGCTGGCTTCTCCGAACGAGAAATTCTTCTCTGTTTTCACAACAGCACCAGCACCACCACCATCATCATGATCATCATCATCGCCAGTATCACCAACATCATCGAAACGCATGCTGCTCGACGTAAGGGAGGAAGCGAGAGATTGAGCAAACAATCACAGCGAACGCTCCGTAACTTCTCAATGGAAGTCAGAGGACATTCCCCTCAGTGATTCACATGAGCGTTATACGCCGGCCGGGAGCGGGCTCCGAGATCGGGTCTACAGTCAAGCTCCGAATGCACAAGATGATCCTTGCGAAACGAACGTCATCCCGGAATGCTTGACGTAGTGCTCCGAGGCTAAATGTCAATCTGCGATCGAGCTTAGGATGAGCAGCCGCGATGGAACTGTGTGAAATTTGTGTGCCTCGGACCGATAGACTATTGAACTTCCTCGGTCGATGTCCGTGGAGGTCGCGCGAGGTTCCGCCGCATAAGCGTGACCGGTTGGGGTCAGTGAAGCAACTCATCATGTACATAGGATGCTCGACGGTTTCCCAACGCCAATTACGGCAGTCTCAATGTCGGACTCCGATGCTGATGGGGAAGCCACAAACGACAACGAGCTCAAGCGACTCGCTCTCCATCGAACCCTTTCTTCATGCGGTCGGGGGAAACCGACGATGACAAGAATCGGATTCCGAGAGCTAATGAGCTGTGCGCGACAAATTCGATTGGTCATGTTCAACAACACCAACGGCGATGACGACTCGGAAAACGATGTCTGGAGTAGGAGACAAGATGCATTCATTCGGTCAGTGAAGCATCCATGCGAGTAGCTCGTATTCGGGCCGGATCGCCGAGCGCGATCACCAATGGTATCGAGACGAACAGGCTGCTTCGTTTCGTTTCGTTCCGTATTCCGATTTCACATTTCTTCTGGATTCCGTTCTGGAGGACTGCAGAAATCCACCGAAGGCTCGGAGCTGAAAAGATTCTCTTAGAAAGCCTGCGCTGTGTGGTCCACGCGGTGTGGAATTCCCGTCGGTGATATTGAAGGATCGGTGCTTAATGCGAGAGGCTCGTAGCTACGGCAGGCCGAGGGTACCGATCGGTAGAACCTCCTTCTCGACAGGAGGAAGAGTTTCGCTTCTTAAATATGAGTCGCTACGAGCTCAGATACGCTACGATTGACGATCGGTGGCGACGTCCGGAATCCGACTACGAATCGATCGGGATACATTATGCTTTGCGGGACTATCTCCAGGGAAGACATTCTCAGATCTGGTTCTATCCCGCAATGAGGCTGGAGAATATGCAATTCTTCGCCAGGTAGGATTCCGGAAATAAGTAAATGTCCAGGAGTGACCTTGTTCGCGAATTTCCGCCATAGTAGCGAAAGATGATAGTTCTGCAGAAATGTTATCAGCGAGTGTCTCGAGGCTCGTTCCCGTGAGAGCTTCGTCGCTTACCGCGGCGTGAAGTCCAAAGCTAGCGAGGACCATTGAGTTCCAACGTAACGTTCTATCGTGGGGTACCTGAACTTCACCCACTGGCTTCACTATTACTACTACGGCGGCGACGCGGACTACACAAACGCTCAGCTAGTACCGCGGCATTTACCGATCATACCGAAAACAATAAATTTCTCCGACGGCATCGCATCTCCCACAAGGCCGCTAACGATCTCACCTTCAGGCTTCTTTTCGTTCTGCCGGTCACGTCCAAAAATTGAAATTGGACGCTGAAAAGGAATATGCTTGGTACGGGGTTCGAAGGTCTTCCCAGGACCCAGGACACTATCACCGGAGTTCCTCAGTTTTCTCTGTCTCGGGTTTCTTCGAGGACAGAGCAAACTTGAGAGACTGAGGTGCGCGAAGCGTGATCCGCAGTAGCTTCCTATCTTGCTCGATCTAGACATTAGCGTAGCCATGAGTTCCCACGGACTTTGCGAGAAGGCTCGAGATCTCTCGGTCCTCCATCGGAACGCGAGCGATATGAAGATTCGAAAGACCCATGATTCTCCGTAGCTGCGATTTTCGGAGGTCAAAGATGACGTAACGAAGCACCCGCCGAAGGTGAAATCACCACTTCATCGGAAATCGCTCATGAATCGACGCGGCGTATTCTGGAGCTCGATTGGGTTACCAAGTCTTTAAAATCTTTTGTCCCGTCCCATGATCAGCGAGGAACGCGACGTCTTTCTTGCGCCCCGATTCCGACAGAGAATTCTCGCAGAGGATGTCGCACGTGTTCATCTGCGTATTGTTGAGATGGCAGTATTTGTGGTTTTTGAATCATTCCGAGTTTTATTGTAGGTTTTTTGCATGCTTAGGACCGACCAGACTGGCCATTTCCCACGTCGAATAATTAGTGTAGATTGTTGTCCTATTTTCGCGTCGCTCGAACCCTGCGCGATGGGTCAGTTCTCGGTAGAGATTCACCCTCTGATTTTGGTAGTGTCTAATCAGCATTGCGTTCGCTTCTCTGAACGCTCAGTCTCGAGCAAATACGGATGACGGATGGCTTTTCGAAAAAATAGCCTCGACTTGAGGTCTTGGGAGGATTGGCTCTCGCGAGTACCCGTGAACTCTGCGATGATCACGGGACGGGAAACCATTGGCTGAGGAATTTTTCAGAAGAATAACGGGATAAGTGCACGGACTTGAAGAGAAACTCCTTTCGACAGAAGCTGCGAGCGAAGTCAGAATCTCGGAAGGAGCTCCGGAGCAAGCAAATTCGAAATTCTTCGCTCTTGTCGAATCCGCGGCCTACTAGGGCGATCCGGACCGACGACCACGAAGATTCCTCGGGCGTCATGGAGTGAAGAATAACTACCTGCATGAGTGCCGCATTAATTCCGAACTAGCTCAAAGCTAGCTTTCTATTTTACTGAAAATCGAGCCCCGAGCAAGTAGGAGTCTCACGCTCAATTAGCAGTTGGCCATGGTCCCGAGAGCTAGTGTCATCGTGCGTGAACTTCGTTACGTTTAATGCATGTGTCCACGGGGCGTCGTCACACTCTTCAAGTAGAACGGAGCGATGGTCGCAGCCGTCGAGCGAACGAAGCTCACTCCTTGTTAAGCGGCTGCTCGTGGGAGAATTGACGCGTCGAATGCGTTTGCATGGCTACTCACGAGCGTTCACGGCACGAATCGCCTTTCCTCAATGTTCTCGATGGAGCCAGGCACTTAGCAGAGAGTATCTCAAATGCTCCGAATGCGCGCTCGTACATAGAGAGAACTGATAGCTCTACATAATCTTTCCTGGAGCCAAGAATGTCTTAGGGGGCGCGCGATGCATTAGAGAAGAGAACATGTACTCGTGACAACTTCGAATATACACACAGTCGTGTCGAAACGGTCGATTTAACGTGAACTCACGAAACAAACTTTTCAGCTCCAATCAACAATCTCAAAAAACGGTGGAGACGTGACCCGAAGACGACATCTTCACGCTTCTCACCATGGCGTCGAACGTTGTATTCTTTGTAGGGCTTTTCGTGGATTTGGTCGCTATTTCATTTTCTTTTTTATTTGCTTGTCTATTCATCCATCTACCCATGTAACAGCCATGTGCCACGGATCGCATTGAAAAAACAATGGCGAGGTGGTCTCGTAGCGTGCGGAATGATATTAATGATCGGATGAAGCCGTGGCGGCTTTTGCCTCTTGCGCCACTCCTTCAATCCGAAAAATAATTTCACGAGTATAACGAGTCCATCCACGCCGTTGTTCCCACTTATCTTCGCCAGGTTTGTGTTCACTGATTCGTCGCCTCCGGAAGCCCATCCCCCTACCTGGAAGAGCATGCAGGAGATGTGCTCAACGAGGCTGAGGACATAGTGAGAGGAAATCCCGGATTTTTCAATCCAAGGTGACTCGTCGGCCACCGCGTCACGCTCCTTGACGCGATTATCCTCTGAGTTCCGGAGCGAGAAGGAAGGCGAATGCGACTCCGATCTGATCGCTCTCTGAAAATGCGGAAGAAAGAGCTAATCGGTAACGAATCCTGATTTTAATGCGAAGAACCGATGCTCGGAATCGTTTCACTCCATGCGTGACCTCAGGGTGCTCCTAGCGATGGGAGAAAACACCAGGCCGATCGAAGCCGAGCATCTCCCTCGGTGTTGAACCAGAATTATTCCATCCATCTCGACGTTCACTTGATATTTTGATCTGCAGGTTTCTCTACACAGGCTGCAAAGCTCTCTTCAGAAAACTTCCGCAGATCATGACCAATATCGGATCGCAATCGCGAGGCAGCGGAGGTCCGCAGTCGAAATCATCTTGTCGACTTTCGCTTACAATCAGAATCGCCCAAATTCCTGAAACAGCAGGTGAGTGAAGCGGATACTCTGGATTTCCACAGGAGCATCGCTCGAGAAACCTGAAGATTCCTCCACGGAGGAGGAGAGGGAGAAGATTCCATGCGTGCCTCCGATGTGCATTCCACCCGCCTGACGTCTAGAACTTAAGATGTGTTTCTGATCGCCCAGAATTCGAACTCCCGTCAAGATCAGAGGGTAGACCTTCGCTCAGAGCAGTATTGCTTATTGTGATGATAATTTCATTAAAGGGCAATACTGTATACAATATAGGGAGCCAGGCAGAGTCGGATCGACGGACATCCTCCGGCATACGGAGATTCTCGGTGTTCAGGTTTTAATTTTTTCCCAGCGATACTGAATCGATGTCTTGCCCCGAATGGAGTGATAGGATATCGGCCAGACACAGATTCCACTCAGCCGGCTAGCTCGCGGCACTCTGATATCTATTCCTTCTTTCATCGAGTCAGCAATCGAGTTATTCGTCCCGTACCGCTCCCGTCACGCTCAGGAACTCATGTCAGGAGAAACGAACATATGACTTTCTCGTCGATGGACTCGGCTTGCGATCGGCTCTCCAATTTACTTCTTGTCTCTTCACACACGTGGGAGGAGATAAAGTCTTCCTACCCAAAAGGAGTTTGCGCAGCGGCGATCAGCTAGTTAGTCAGCTTGCCAGCCAACGAGGCAGGCAAGCAAGTCTGCTTGCCGAGGGTAGTGAGACAAAACCTCGCCAAACGCTGCAGAAACGAAGCGGATCGAATTATTCGTGAGAACTAGTCCTTGCTCCGCCCGGTGTTGTGGAGAGAAAAGTCCGCTTCTAGCGACAACCCACTTCGAAAAGGCGGAGTCCGCGGGGAAGCACACCGCCCCTAGTTTCTTCTTGGCTCGGCTCTGGTTGGTTTCTCGAAAGGTACCGGTCAGCGCTCAGAATGTCACTGGATATCGTGCAGTTCAGTTCTAAGTTCGGACGATCGTGCTCGACCGGTGCTGTCACCTCTTCCTCGGGAATCGTTGGAGCAGAAGTTGAAGATCTTCGAAGCGAGGAACACATCGCGAGTGATTTAGACGACATGACTGCCGAGGAAACTTCCGCTGCTTCCGGAGTGCGGCCGATTTCTTTTGCTGGTTATCCGTTTCAAGGTAATAGTTTTTCCGCATTTTCCCTTGTCCGAAAGAAGTTCAAATTCGTGGATGTCAAGGGGAGAGGAATCTCGAAAGAAGTCTTCGCTGGAAGTCATCGCGTCGGTGGCCGAAATCGGAGCGCTCCCGAGTTCGATTATGAACTCTTGCGCAAAGACTCGTACTCGCCGGGCAAGCTCATCGTCCCGGTCGAGCCCGACGATTGTTTCGGTTGACATGTTCCATTTTGCGGATGCGTGAAGCCTCCGCGTAGCATATGAATCGAGGATGGATCCTTACGGCGGCGCCGATGGAAGTGGAAGACACCCATTGCACGAGTTACCGAATTTGCGAAATGCTAAGAAGCCCTCCGCAAGAACCCCCTTCGCTCGTCTCTCAAGATCGTCCACCAGAGCTACCGCGACGGCTCGTCTGAAGTTTCTCTATCTTGCGAAGATGTTACCTACTCTACCAACGATAAGCTCGTTGGTCACAAGTTGACAGCCGACCTAGCGCGGCCCACACAGACCCGGTGGAGAACAACGAGCGATGTATCTGAGCACGACGAATCGTATGTTGTTCCCAAGAGATCGACGCATGACTCATGCAATTTTGACTTGTATCTCCGGGACTCGCGAGTTCAGGCTTGTGCAAGGCTCAAACAGTCTTTGGGTGTCCCTACTGCGCCTTGTCCGCGGGAAGGGGACCAGGAAGGCGTTTTCGGCGACGTTTTCACGGCGCCGAACAAATTTGTCGGGTCGATCAAAGCTCCTGAGACGGACCTCCCAGGATTAAAAATTATCCGGACTGACTTCGGCAAGAATTTCCTTAGTCGAAGCCGCGGCAGCCATGTCTCGTCGTCGGGTCGTGTTGACGACTTCTGCTGCTGCACAAAAGCCCGATGAGCTTGACTGATGTCAAATTTTCGCCGATGGCGTCGACGTCCCGACGTAATCAATAAAGCGACTTCAATGAAGTCTAGGCATCGGCATTCGTTTCTTTGTTACTCTCCACTACCAGCGGGGGGTACTTCACACATTGAGCCTCCCTTTTTTGTCGTTTTCGTGCGCGTCATCGACGTCATTTTAGTCGAGTATTCGGGGGTGATGATTTCAGGGGTTCCCGGCGATATCGTCGGGGTGCTTCTTCTGCCTTTGCCCTGCCTCACCCTACATGTACATAGAATACAAATCGAAAATTTACAATTGCGGGCGGCGGCCCACAAGTTATCCACACCTTTACGCTAGCCGTGATCGATGATTGTCGAGAGCGAAAAATAAAAAATTGGGTTACGGACGCCCTTGGTCGTCATCGATAGTGAAACAATGAACATACCTCTCTCGATCGAGGGACGTCGGAACCCACAAAGACATTTTGGTTCTGTCATCGGGGAATTCGGTCTAGACCCTTCTAGCTCCAAGTTGCGACCGATCCTTTTGGATCTTGAAATTTCTCGCCTCACCGTCGTACATTTTCCAGGTCAGGGACGCGTCAATCAGCTCGGAGGGGTTTTCATCAATGGAAGACCCTTGCCGAATCACATCAGGTACAAAATCGTTGAAATGGCTGCCGCCGGTATCCGACCATGTGTTATTTCACGCCAACTCCGCGTATCCCACGGCTGTGTGTCGAAAATCCTAAACCGGTACCAGGAGACGGGGAGCATTCGTCCAGGAGTTATCGGCGGCTCCAAGCCCAGGGTAGCCACTCCGATTGTGGAGACGAAAATCGAAGAATACAGGAAAGCTTCTCCGACGATGTTCTCCTGGGAAATTCGTGATCGGCTCGTGAAAGACGGCGTCTGCGACAAGACAGCCGTGCCGTCGACGAGTTCGATTGCGAGAATCGTTCGGGTGAGCCGAGCCAACAGCCCCGAGAGCGCGGACTCCGAGAAATCGCACGGATGGGATAGCGAGTTCCGCAGTCAGAAAGCTGACCACTCGATCAACGGCATCCTCGGTGGTGAGTTCCCTCGACATTATTCATTCATGACTTACGCTTTTCCATCGACTAGCTGCAGTTGGTATATGTAGGTATTGCCATGAATTTCGACTGCTCCGAGTGCCAGATGTCCTCACGGGAAGAATTAGACACGCTCGCACATAATGACTAGAGGAGGGGAAGCCGAGGCCGGCATGGCAGGGACGTGGTTTCGGAGTCCCGACCCTGTTCGGCTCTTGCGATGGCTTCGCTCCGCGAGAGCGCATTGCAAAAGCGCAGGGCGAGTGCATTTCTCCAATTGTCGGAGTCGAGACGATTTTGGTCGGCAATCGTGATCGAATCTCGCAAAAACGACTTTGCGATCACTTCTGCTTTCCGAGGTTTTTGAGACCCTGGGATTTTCCCCATTTGGGACCTGGACGAATCGTGGGATGGATCGATGGTCCAGGATCGATTCCGACGTCTCAGACACTCGGGTCGATCGACGACGGCTCTCGAGGCCGTTTGCGACAATAATTGAGACGGCGGTAGCTCGCTGAGCTCGTCACGCAATCAGTGTCGTCAACGACGTCGCCGTCGGCTGTTCTTCCAACTGTTCTGATGATGAACATCGTGAAGATTCACGAACACCCACGAGGCGTCGAATTCTCAGCGGGCGAAGATCAAAGGATCCTCGCACCTCGTCAGTAAATGATGACCTTGTTGTTGTAGCAGAGCTCGTATTGTTGGCCCATTGTTGGCCATTTTGTACTCTGCTCGATCACAGGAGCCGACTCGGGGAGGCTCTTGAATCCGGCGACGGTCTCTTTGAAGTCGCCTACGAGAGAACAGAAAACATTCAAAACATCTCTGACATCATCGAATTGTCCTCGAACGTGGGAGGAATGCTCGGTCGCAGGTGGACCGAGTTTGCCCTATTATGCATCGCAAATCCTCCCGAAATCGAGATTCTCGACTTGTGTCCTTTTCGGCGACGCTGCTTTGGTTCCCCGAGTCGGAGCTCGGGAGCGCGAAAGTACGCTGCGAGGAATACTTGTGCACACGCTGCAGGGTCCGGCTTCGGGCAAATGTCCTAATCTCGCGTGGAATGATTCCCGGAATGCAGGGCGTCGACTCCGGTGCGCGAGATTCAGGTCAGCTCGGCTGTGGCCCAAGCCGAGATTCTCCCATGGTCTCGATGGCCGTCCCACTTATGCGGAAGGCGTTCGGGAACAATACGAAGGAGCTGAACAAATTGGTTCCCTATTACGAAGTAAATGAATTGGTTCGTTTTTCCTCGGGGAGCAAATCTCTCTGCGGAAAGTGAAGTGTGCAAGCGCGTGTGTGCGAAGGAGTTCCTTCCGAATTTGAATAGAAACTAACGTCGCTCATTCGTCTCCCTGCAATGAATTGCGGGGGAGCTCAGAAGTAGGTAGTTTATCTTGCAAGACGATTGCAGTCAAGTTAACTTTCGAGAGGCAGCCCCTCCGAGAGCACTCCGTTCCTCGTGCCCCGTCTCGAAAGGTACATATGTATATCCATGGATTATTCAATCGAGCGCTCTTCCGCTCCTGAGCATGGTCCTTCGGGCCTAGACGATCTTCTCTAATCACGGAATCAATTCGGAATCCGGGAATTCCAATCTCAGACTTCCTGTCTGTCGAAGTCGATACGGAAGCTCCTTCGGATCGAGTGACGGCTTGTGGCGAAAATGTCGAATTAATCGTCAAAGACTAGAAGCTTGTCGAATTCTATTCTGAGAAGGAACAGCAGCGATGGGTGCATCATACATATGTGCTGCAAGAACGCTTCAGTTAGCATGGTTTTCGGTGGTTGAAAACGTCTTCGACAGTAGTCCGCTGTTCACCTAGAGCTCCTTCGCTCACCCACGGCGCCCCGTCGAGTCGTCTGATTTGTGGTTGAACGAGCCACAGAAACAAGTGTTAGCATGCGGCGTGAAACAGTCGAACTGAAAACTTCCTCAGCCAAGTGAATACAAAGTGGCCGTAAGATCCGAAAGCGTCGAACATGATTTACGCCTATTTGCGTCGGCTTCTTCGCCAGCCAACATTCGGCATTTGAGGCATGTTTGTTAAAAAGGGTTTTGCTTAAGACTGTTGCCCGTTGTTGCTACTTCGGTTGTTCGTCTCCGCTTGTTGAAGCAGTCATTTCTTGTTCACTAATAAAAAAACGAGTTTATACCGACATCTGTGAATGTTCGTGTTGTCGCTGTATTCGCCCTCGAATCACCCATGTGTGGGCATAAAACTCCGTACATGTCCGCGTCGCATCGCATGTACTCAGCCGGTCGGAGACGCGAGCTAACAATAGGAGGAAGATACCGCTTTTACGAGGGAGTGAGTTTGCGTCATCATCGCTCAGAATGAAGTCAGAGATAAAACTTAGAAAACCGTGCTCGGGGATCGTAACCTGAGCTGCGACGAGGGAAAGCCAATCTGCCGAAACATGCGGAGATTACCTTTGCGACTCGTATTCTACATCGGCTTCATAATACACAAGCTTCTCCCTCGATACGGAAGCAGAGCGGAGAGAAAGAAAAAGAGACAAGACTTGAATGGATAACACTGCGCGGCACTTGACGATTCGAGCTCCGATCGACGCCGAGGTATCCTCACTGCAGACGAAGACAGAACTGCTACTCGACAGCCATAAATCGATCACACGCTTAAGCGCTAATTTACAACGCTGCATTGATATGCTCCGCTCATGTTCTCGAGGATGTAAAGTGATGCCGCGGATTTCGAAGGCCGCGACGAGCTTGCTCGCCTGTTAGACTGACAAATAAGCTCCTTCTATCAATTTCTAGGTCGGGACGATGAGGACTCAGACTGCGATTCGGAGCCCGGCATTCTTCTGAAGCGCAAGATTCGCCGATCTCGGACCACGTTCACAGCTGAGCAGCTCGAGGAGCTGGAGAAAGCCTTCGCGGCGACACAGTATCCAGACGTGTACACGCGCGAGGAGCTCGGAGCGAAGACGAAACTCACGGAGTCTCGCGTCCAGGTCTGGTTTTCGAACCGTCGCGCTCGCTGGCGCAAACACATGAGCCACCATTCGACTCCTTTTGCGCCTCCTCTCACCTATCAGCAAAGTCATCAACAAGCGCCGCTCAGTGCAAGCCCCAGCACCAGCGATCACGGGGCGTCTGGCGTTTCATCGCCCTCGGTCTCCAACTCGACATACGCCAACAACTCGTACGACTCGTGGCGGGGATCGACCTCGACCGCGCCGCAGGTGTTCCCCACAGTGCAGAATAGCTACTCGGCACCGTATTGCCAAGACCGTCAGGACAACCTCTACAACTTTTTCAACCAACAAACGAACGGCGGGGCGAATCAAGGCCTGTCCAGCCAGGACTACATGGGGTTCCAAGCACACAATTTAGCACCGAATCTCTGGAGTCAGCCCCGACAGGATCAATTTCAGGGATGCCTCCAGACTGGCAACGGAGCCGACCAGTATGGTGTGAGCGGCGATGCCTTGTTCCAACATGGTTTAGGCCCCAACAACATGAAACTTCTATGGAACCACAGTGCTACTCAATACTAGGTATTTGTTGCGAAGCGAATTAGGCGCACATATGTATCTTGGGATTCTTGCGTACGTTGCTCAATGTATCAGAGGCGCGGCGAGGATCCTCTTAGGAATGCACCTAGAGTCAGTCCCTCCCCGGGTCCTTCCGGCTGCAGGTCCGAGGGTCTCGGAACGGTTGACATTTGAGTTCATCTCCCTCGCGTGATCAATGGCGTGTTCATCAGGATACACCGCGTGTTCTCTCCTCGCCTCATTCGGGACTAGCGTCGAGTGCCGATCAAGTTCGACTTGGCTCTCCCATGGCCGACAGCTGAATTTCGTATTTATTCGAATGTACACCTAGAGAGATTTGTGGTTAATAATCGCATGAAAGCTGAGACATCACCCGATGACTCATGGGGGATCGGCTACGATTATGAGAAGTTCTGGTGCTGTTGCGAGTACGACCGTCTCCGAGATATCTTGCAAGTATAGGTAAGAACATGGTTCGATATCACAGATCGTATGAGTTTTTAGAGGATTTTAAGGCAATCGCTGCTGTCTTCAGATGTACAAATATATTTCTCTGAGATTCTATATTAGAGAGCTCTGAAACATCAATTTATGTTTATCCAATCGTGTCCATCTTCTGGTGGATTCTTATGGGACAAATCGAGAAAATAAAATCGTATAAGAAACCCGCGCTCCCTTCTTGATCGATGGGAAGGCTTCCCGTCTTCTCCGGGAAATTTCGACTTATCTACTGCAAAGCTCGATCGCTAGGTTGCTCGAGCTGGCTTACACTGAGCTGACGTAGGTCACTTGCTGGGTTCATCTTTTGATGGGCCTTCTGGACTCAAGATCGAAATAATTTCACGCATTTAGGCAGTTTCCTATTCCGCCCCGCAACAAATACCGAATTCCATTCGTGAGGCAGGACCGCAGCGATCAGTTCCTGGGTTCCGTGTTTTTTTATCAGGAGAATTGCGTTCCGCGCAACCTTACTCGATCGGGTTCCGATCGCTCGTTCCAAGATTCGTGGTTGAGTAAACAGATTCGAAGAACCCCACAGCGAAGAGTTGGAGGGAACCCCACAAGAACCTCGGAAAGAGGCTTCAGTCTGAGCGATCATCCATAGCTGGATTTCTATGAAGCCCGAACAACTTCGGATTCAGGTTTTTTCGATTCCGGATTTTCCTCCCGCATCAAGGAATTCGCGGGGGTCGATACGCTGAGGTCCAAAACAATGAGCATTCAATCATTCATTTGGGGTCAGATTCGGGGATTCATGGAAGATTCTCCTCCACCCCTCCACCGTGGCCGCCCGGAATCAGTCGCTATGACATCTCTTGAAGAGAAGAACTTCTGTACAGATGACCTCACAGCTACTCTAATCATTGAACATCTCGTGTATGAATCGTTTGTGAAGCACACAGTCACACACGATCATGAACCCCTCTATCGACTGCACGATTGTCTCCGTCTCACAACAATGCGTTTAAGCCAAGGTTTGAATACGAGTCTTAAAGATGTCCGTCTACGACTCGAAATGGAGCTTCGTCTTTGTTTACAAGTTTACGCCAGACAAATGGTTCTGTTGGACCTCCTTTTCGTCAGAAGTAGAATCGCTGGGGGATTGGCTCTGCCTACTAGATCTAGCAAATATGTGAAATATCATCCGAGCTAGATTGATGGATCGATAGACAGAGCTGCATACTTGAGTCTCTTGTCCGAATATGAGATCACCCGCTGCGCCGAACGAGCTCCAAGCGTTCGAAGAAGGTCAACACTGGATCGTGTTTTGCGTAGAGATTCTCCATGGGAGCGCCTTAATCAGTGCCTACAAAAAGTCACGCGCTGAAATGAAGAGCATCGGAATTTCGAAAAATATCTCGGAGTTCGAATCGGTATCCTGGAGCAGCTGAAGCTCTCGGGCGGGAGCTTTCGAAATGACTGATACCCCTCTATCTATACTCTGCTGCATGGTTTATAGAGTGGCCGAGTCAAGCCTTGTACATAGTTGAGTTCTGCGTCTTGTCAGGCAGGCCTCGCTCGATGTCGAGGGTCAGAACACTCCGCTTTGAAGACTCTCCACAAGAACCCTCTAGGAGCCTCAGGTAGGACGAGTGAGGCGGATTTCCACAGCACTCCCCGAGTGATACACCAAGGTTCCTGAAAGATCCGGATGTGTCTCTATTATTAGTCTTCGCACTGAAACTCATACTGCCGGGAGGTGGTATTCAAGGAATTAACACATGCCCGTCGAAACCAGCATTCATGATGCCCGCAATCATCACGCGGTTTCGCTTGTTAAGTAGTTGGTACGAGGAACTCAACGGGAATCGACTCTTCAGGTCAACGACTCCTTTCCTCATGTGGAATTGAGCGCTTTGCGTCTGACGCAATGCGAGACGAATGAAACTCCGTAGATGGCTCAACCGACACGTCCGATGGTGCACACCCATGCAGCTCCCAAGGAGCACTTAGGACTTACAACATCCCAAGGAGTCACTGAATCAAAAGATCCTCTCGCACTAGATTACAAGCTTATATCACATCTAGATGGGAAGCTCGAGTGACAGGCTGTTTTCGGACACTGATGTTCCTCGATTCCGGGATATTTATCAAATTTTCGTCTTCGGATATCATGGAGCTGGGGGGTCTGCAGTCTCCAACCCACGGAACATTTCGAGTCTGAGGGGATATTCGAGCTCCGACAAACTTCTTCGAGAGGGAGCTCTTGCGGATGAAGAAGTCGCGCTCTGCAGCACGGGATGTGGTGACTATTTCCTCGATCAGGCTGTTTCATGGATATGCATGGAAGCATCATAGAAACTACGGATGCGAGCCGGATCGAGATGAGGTCGTGAAGCAACAGAGTGGGACATCTTCCAGGACGCGCAGGACGGAGAACCCAGGTCTGCGTGCTCATCGAAGTTGGTTGAGCCAGAATCCAAGGGCAAAAGAGGCGTGGACTGATGAGACTCGATTCCGGTGAAAAATTTAGGCCGGAAGACGTAAGTGTTCCGAGTGTCAGAGCGAGAAGGAATACAATGATACAAATACAAAAATGAAGTGATTACGGACAGACCCAAGAAGCCCCGCACAGGCACGGAGTAGTACAAGAAAACAAGGCAATCAGGGCTCGTATACGAGAGAGTGGAATTCCGTCCCATCGCGGTGACGCAAGCTCATTCGAGGCGGGTGGGAAAGAGATCCGAGTCGTCCTGAATCATTCCCTTCAGGCGAATTCTGGGCAAGGAGCCCTCGCCTCAGACAATGGCCGGTTGCTCTCCGCAAGCTCGAACCCGGGGAACATGCCTGAGAGGCATGCCGAACCTTAGGAAAGCTCGAATAAAACAATCGGAATCGATTTGGAAAATCCCTGTTCTCCCAGTTCCCCGTGGGTCATGATCAGCTTGATCTCTGCATGTCTGCCCTACAGCTCAATCAAATCGATACCTCTGAGAATCTTGGAATCCTGTGTAGCGCTTTCCGAGAAAAACTCCGTTCTGAACTCTTTCAGCCTCATAACCCTATCGAGAAGACGAGGGAGACAGCTCCTTGTCACTCCTGAACGATGACAGCGGAACTTGTCTCCGAATAAACTTCTATCAGCTCTTCCGGAAGAGCGAGCTCTGAGTGCTACCGGGGTAGTCACGGGAGTCGACCCCAAGAGTTCGACCTGAAGTTTCGATACAATGACCTGAATCTGATATCCCTCACCCAAACAACATTCTTCGGTAGATAGCGCGGGAACGAGTCCCAAATGGACATCCAAGCATTCCGATTCTGCCGGTCAGAAGCGGTATATCGCCCCTCGAGCTCTCTTCCGATTCGGGATCCTCCTCCTCCATCCAGGAACCCTGCTCTGAGCCTGTCAACGCTTATCTGATACCACAAATTTTTACGGAAATGAGTCGCTAATCTCCCGCTAGAGAGGGGACTGTCCGTGAGGTGAATTTATCTTCGCAGGGAGGAGTACTCCGTGATGTGCTTCAGTTATTCCTACATGCTCGGCCAACTCACTTGATATGGGCCCGCGAGAAAACATAAACGATTATCATCATCGATTCCGCTGTCTCTGTATCGGATTAGTATTCTCATGCGAATAGAAAACTGAAGTGTCTACCTTTCCTCAGGATCATTTCGTCGACAGCGATTAGTGGAGTCTCAACGGGTCTCCAAAACTCTTGGGCGCCTCCGGCGCGGGAACGATATTACGATGTTTGTGAAATTCCACGGGTCTGAGTTCGGCGGGAGGGGTTCTCCGATTGACGATTCCATCGCTAGTCTCCTCGCGCTATGAATATCCCAAGCACGGCCGCAATCTCTGAGATACTGAGCCAACCATCAGCCCACCGAGACAGGGTACGGAGCGCGTTCTGAAAAGGGAAATCGTGTGGGAAACGTTGAGCGTTGGCGATTGAATACCAGTGAACCAACATGAATATGAACAAGGAGCCATATGCATCTGCGCCAGGCTCCGAGATCGGGATCTCAAAGAATTCATGAAGGATTACATATTGATGCTTTTTCCATTCTAACGATTTACCGGATACGGAGCAAGCGCGAGCGCATAAGGTGGCTCCACTTTTGATGCCGAGGGGAACCTCCTGATGCCACGGTGGCCCGGGCCCGGGGATGAAGGGAAGCGTAGGTTTCTGTACTTCTCCAGGCAAGGAGTATTTTTCGCTTCTAATTCCACTGTACGAGTGGGCTGAATGAATTTGACTCAATAATGATTCCGACGCTTTCGCATACAACTTACGCGTTTGATTTCCCTTTGCCTTGCGCAGCTATCCTCGATCGGGTATAGGCCATGAGTTCTGAGCAGTTTCTCTCGGTAGGCGCCGACGATCTTCGACCCTGTTGGAGGTTTTGGAGCACTTGGTGAAAGTTCAGTGAGAGGTCTATCGGCAACCCGTCCATCTTATCCTCGAGGGGGGATCCGCGACCCACCATATTATCTGTCAGCTAGACACGCTGTATGATGGGCTGAGTATCTTCTCTCGGCATTTATTTGGTTTACTTGCAATCCTCATCCAACGAAAAATCAAGCCGCGCCCGAGCATGGAAAGCTGATTTCTGAACCCGGCCGGCTGGGTCGCGGTCTTGGTTCCACGTGCCGTTTTTTAAGCGGGTTCTCCGGTAAGCCAATGTCGACGAAATTGGTCATAGCGGCCGACTCGCGGCGTGGACTCGTGGGGATCAGAAATCGTCGTTCGCGCTTTTTCTCATGACACTGCTCCTGATGAGCGCGACCGGCGAGATCGAAGCCGGTGGTCAGCTGCTCGAGTGATTACAGCGGCAGTCAAGTCCGATGATGAATGATTTCGATATCTCCACTGGCTGCGGGTTGCTCTCGGTAGCATTTCGTCGCTTTCCACGGGGGCACAAGATCGCAGGGCTCGTGCGATACATGTTCTCCGGCTTCGACTCCAGCGGAAGGAGCTTTTCCTTGAGCTGAATCGTGGGCTAGTATTCTCAATCGATGTATCCGATGGAAGGCCGCACAGCCTAGATCCTGAGCCAGAATTTGAGAAGCCTACCGAGCCGAGAAATGGAGCGCGTGTTGAAGGAGGGAAATCGTTCGGAATCCCTTGAATCTCAGCGATGCAAGTTCAAGCCCCATTCAAGATTTCCATCCTTTTCGACCCGCCGTTCTCGAGCCCTAAAGCGCGACCCACTCTGAAGTCGAGAGCTCCGCCTCCAAACGAGGGACAAGATCACATCTCAACCAAGCCCGACAAAGAACAGCGAAGTGCTCCGCGCCCCTTTGAAATCCCAGAAATCAGTTTCTTTGCTCGAACTGGCGTACCGATGGCTTCCTTCGATGAATCTCACACATACATGCGAGAAGAGAAATGACACAGCCGACCACGACAATTTTCACAGCTTCGTGAACTGCAGAGACGATGCTCGGCTTCTGCTGCGGCCAATTGTCATCTTGAAACAGTGAAGTCGATTGGTAATCGCTCACGCGATTTTTCTCGGAGAGTATCCTTGTATAAACACCGGAGACTGCCAGCGGCTGTGTTAGCCGCCAATGATCGAGTGGATCGATGTGAACATACGACGACAGATTGCCCATCTCCAAGACATTGTAACAACGTAAACAGATTACGTAGGTTCGGTATCGTTCTTGGATGTGGCTTATTTTGAAGAAAGAGACTCCAGCGCTGATTCCACGAGCTAAACGATTCAGCTCTGAAAAATCCAGGCGAACGGCTCTGAGGAGTCGGCAACTACGTGGGAGTGGAATGGATTATGATGGCTGAAAGTTGGCATATTCGGAGTCGGACTCATTTGAAGACCTCTCACCTTCATCCGACGCGCAGACCGCCCGGCCGCTCTGGAGCTCTATGTGAGAGAATTGATAGGTCGAGCTCTGTAAAGTTAGTCCAGTCGAATGGTCTCCCAGAACATCCCAAATGACATCGGACAATTTCCTTGTGCGATCGCTGGCTGAAATCGATCTGTTGTTTTCCAACTCGTCCAGACGAGCTGGGTATTTCAGATCGACCGCCTTGGACAAAAGGGTGTGACACGCCTGGAGAGTGACCTTCGGGATCGTCTGAGCCGCTGCCATGATTTCACTCTTGTAACAGAAAGTCAACACTTGAACGAACACGATGTACGTTCCAACGACGACCCAAAAAAACTTGGGGCGTCCGACGAGAATGCTCTTCGGCAGCTCTCGAACTGCGAACACGCAAGTCACAAAATAAAAAAACGCGCTCAAAAAACTCCTCCTGCGGTGAGAGAAAAGAAGCGCGAATGCCAGGGTGCTGCTGACAATCAAGGCGATGATTCTGGCACCGAAAATCCTCTGCGTCACCGCCGAAGAAGCATTGTTCTCCGGGATCAGAGCGATGGCGTTCATCGGCCCCGAATATAGAGGCAGCCTCGAGCTGAGATAAGAAAGCTGCGTCAACCATATGTGCAGCTCAAACGACGAGCTCGAGTCGTTCGGAGAAGTTCCCGATTCGAAATAAAAATCAAGTCGCTCGCATTGCGGTCATCTTCTTCGACGTCGACGAGTCGCGTTTGGAGTAGGCGGGGATCCGAGTCCGAAAGAATCTCCTCGAAGATCTCTCGGGTCAGATCGGGTTGAACGGCTTCGAAGTCTGAGATGAACGAGAATCCCGCGGCGAACAAACGCGCGTTCGCTTTCGAAACTGTGACCTCTCCCTCAGGAAAAATGAAAATGGTGCTGCTGAAAACCAAACTATGAACATAGAACCTCGCATAGCCGCGAGCGACCATCAAAAGAACATTTTGTTGCTGTTTATGCATTGACAGGATCGAGCCGTAGTGTGAAGTATAAGCCGTCCCATTGCTGAAAAAGTTGCCGCTCTCCGGATCGCGTGATTCCAGCTGTTCGGAGAGACCGAAGTCGAAGTCGGAAACGTCGGTGTCCTCGGAATTGACGCTAATATACATGTCGGGCCGACAAGCGAGCACGAAATTGATTTTCGCAGTATGCGTTCGAAGTCCGCTCGATCTCAAGACTGTGATTCTGAGATCTTTGAACGCTTCATGATCGATTCCGCAATTGACATCTATTAAAACACTATGAGGATGAGCCGTATCGAGGAACGTCGCTACTCGTCTGAGCGACGCATCAAAGTCTTCTCGAAAGCCGTGGAGCAAATCCACTCCCCGGAGTGCGTCCGTTGCCTCCGGTAGATCGTTGAATGCAGAAAGTTTACCGCACGGATACATGGCGAATTGCGGATGCAGGGACTCGAACGCTACGACTTGAGCGGCAACTACGACCTGCAATCGCAACATGGTCGGCACGGTGAATCACTGGGAATGCGTCGGTTGCTCCGTTGCTCTTGGAGACTCAACCGTGATACTTAGGGCATGCCATCGATCCATGTCCGGAACGCTAATTACATGTAATCTATCCGATTCGCTCTCGGATCCCAGCAGTTCGCAACTCCATTCAAGGAACGTCCGTCCGCGTACGGAGGTGAACATTATATTTCTCGCATCGGACTTCTCAGGCCTGAGTGGAGGCTGATACCCGCGAACTCACGGAGCAATCGATTTTTCTTTCAACGCGTCTTTTTCTGCGCATTCAGAATGGAGGCTCGGTAGTACATTGTCGCAGGACGCGGAGACCCCAGTCATTCAAGTGATGATTGATGGACTACAGGGTAGACAAAGGAAGAGATGGAGGGGCAACGATCGCTCCCAAGCCAGGGAAATGAATAGAACTTCGATGGGATTTCAGAACGTGAGCCCTTCATCCATCCTCCCCGAGCAGATCCTCGAATGGAAGTGTCCAGGCAGAGCGCGGCAAAGCCAAGATGCCTCTCTAGGGTGAAACTCGAGAACAGTTGATGGTATTAGCGTCCTCGGGTTTCAAGTCGTCCAGAGTGTCTCGGTCATGAATTCGTGCGACCAGCGGCAGATTTCTTCGGAATTCTAGCTCTAAGCGACAGACTGCTTCGGAATTCGTGAACACAAGAAAGGGTCGTTCTTCCTCTATATGCAAGCAACATATCTGTTCACACCCCGATACACAGAACGAAACTCCTCGTAAACAAGTCGGGCAGATTATCATGGGAATCTTGACAAGCCTGTTACCACCAAGGAGAATGGAGCATCCAGAGAGAAGCAGAGTGCGCAAGGAGCATCCGATATGTTGATCATGTGGAGCGTCCTCGCTCTCGATTAGGCTCGACAGATTTACAATGCGGGATATTAGAGTCATTTCTGCCTACTTAAAAGAGGCAATCTCGCAATAGCTCGACGCCGAAGCTACCAGTCTCGATCTGTCGTTCGGGCGATGCGAAAGAGAGACCGGAACTCCCAGTGAATTTTCCATGGCCTGAAGATCTTCCGAAATTTCGGGTGCGTAAGGCACTACAGCCAGAGGGGTATTTCCAGGAGGGGCTCCGGACGGGAATCCCCGTCATCCGGGCCTCCGTTGTCGCAGCTTATGCCTGTACATATGACGAGAGAATCTGGAGTCGATCCTAGAGAGGCGAAAGTCATCCTAGGTTTAACATTTTCCTCCTGTCTGATCTTCCTCCGTCCGCTCTCAGGGGGCTGTATTATATTGGCTCGGACTTCAGCGAGGACACGTCGAGAGAAACAAGGGCGCTCCCGAGACGCTCTGAATGCCGCCGTCCTCCTTCTCATTGGGAGAGGGTCCGGAAACGTTAAAGCTCCACATCCTGACGCGAGGAGTTCATTTCGTCCATATCAACAGGGTCCGTCTCCCTATTCCCTGACGTCGACCAAAGGAACCTTGAGTCTCGCTTCTTGCTATCGAGGAGGAACATCACGCAGACTGCTCGAACACGAACCCGACTAGATGCGGAGGTCCGCCGTCATTCCGAGGAGAAGACTTCTCTCCGACGAGTCGAGTCGCTCCGACCCACATCCGTCCTCAGAGATTGCTTAGCAATATCGCAACCGGGGAATAACATCCTTCTTCAACAAGTGACTTTATCAGCGAACCACTACGCCACGATGGGCAATATCGCGAGTCCTCACAAACTCTCCACGGATGAGGTCGACGCTGTCCAAGCGGCATGGCAAGTTGTCCGACAAGATCAGCGTTCGATAGGACAACAGGTGATGATGACGTGAGTATTTCTTCGGATACATTACGTTCATAATTTTGCTGATGAGCGACTCGATCAATCTGCTGAAATCGTACAGGCGCGATCATCGTGAATTTTGTAGCGGATAATCCGTTTGCACACCGTCCGTTCTCAAGTTGAGACGAAAAATCCCTGGCGGATGCGGGAACTGTTTGGGATGAGACCACTGTATCGCCGATTTCGGATTCCGGACCACAAATTTTCTCTAGCTCGTCCCAGACGCTCTCCCCATAGCGATCGGTAATATATCGGGACGCCTTACTGTCTCTCTGGGATTGGGTGGAAGGAATCGCTGTTTCATTAGGGTGAGATCAGAATCGATGGGCATAATCCTTCTTCTAACTGTAAATAATCGCGTCGAAGCCCACAGTGACCGGCTTTCGCTACACGGATCTTCCTCTGGTTAAATTCGTCGAGGTGCAGGTAGGATTCGAGGGCGAAATCGAATATGAGAGATAAGAGTGTCAGGGCTCCTTGTGTCAGCGGCTCGCGCTCTTTCCTAGATATCTGATGTACAGGACCGAGATATTCGACAAGCATGAGCTCTTGCTGATGAATCCAGTCCGGGAACGTTGAGCTCATTGACCGCGGCTAGATTTCTCGGAACTCAGGCCCGTCGGGCATGGAGGCTGCCTGATTTTGCTCATTGATGGGTCGCTGGATACCTCGAATTTTGATGATTCCGCGAGTTGTGTGCAGAAGTTGATCCTTGGAAAACTAATCATGTCCGACGAGGGAATATCTATAGACGGTTGCCTTCCAAATTCGTAGGAGAGCGGATTCAAGGCATACGTGAGCTCTGTTTTCTTGCATTCGGAATGGGCAACTCCTTTCGGCGCTTCATGCGGGTTTTCATCCTTCGAATCGACTTGTATTTCCAGATTGTTTTCCGAGAATCCAGAATACATTCACAAGTTCAAACATTTGCAAATGATAGCCGCCGATCAACTGCCGTATCATACGGCGCTGAGAGCGCATTCGCTTTCGATTCTCTACGTAATACACTCATTGATCGACAGCATGGATGATGAAGAAACCATGAGGGAACTCATCAGAAAGGTATCGTATCCTCCCTCGCTCTCCAAGAAATGTGTCGCGAACTCGCTATTCATGTCGCGAACATTATTATTAGTTTATGGCCGGATGGTGACGCCGCTGGCGGATCGGAGACTAGTTCGAGAACATGTTTGCATGATGATGACTTCCCTGATGGAAGGAGTTGTGTACACCCGAGCGGAATGAGACCCCGAAACCCCTCACGAACAAGTAGGTCACTCCCTTAAGCCGACGGAGCGCGGTCTAATATGGGCACCCGACCCAATGTTTTCGCGTGGGAGTTGGATGCTTGCGGAGATAAATCACGTCCCGCCAGTGGCTCGACATTGCCCGAACATGTCCGAGGACGGAGTCGCAAGCGAGAGACGGCGAAATCCTTCGGGCTGCCCGAGATTCCGGCAGGCGCCACTTCCTTACCATGAAACTCAAGGACTGGCGGGATGGAAATGTCGCGACCTCGGTCAAAAACTCTATCTCCATCATCGATTCGATGACTCGCGACGAGCGGCATCCGAGCGACGACACCGAGAGACCGAGCTTCTCGAGGGGCCATGAGCGAGAAATGCAGGAGTCGAAATTGATTTGATAACTCCTGATCAATCCTCCCGCAGGTGGCCTTGACGCATAAGCCGCGGAGCGTGAATCGCGATAATTTTCAGGTATTTATGAGCTGCCAGTTCATCTTTGAATCATACGTAGGAAAAATCCTGTGAAGGGAATAAGGGAATTCGCCGTGTCACTTCGTGCCGGTGATTATCGGCGAACTCTTTTCATCGCATTCTCGGACCTTGGAGGAGAATCTAACAGACTGACGGCGTTCTTCTGCTCTGCCAGCGATTCGAAGATGCTTTCATCCTCGTTCTGAAGAAATATGGAATCGACCGTAGAACTGAAGAGGCATTCCATAAGTGCATTCTCTACTTCACCGATATCTACGAAAAAGCTGAGGATACTTAGGAACCAGTCGGCGGGAGCGATATTTCATGCCCTCCGACCGCCAACGATCAACTATCACCTAGCCGCAGTAGGTACTCTGAACAGATTGATCGACTGTCTACGTGATATCATTATGATGCCGAACGATCCCAAAGCTCATCGCTCCGGAGGAATGTGAGGGAAGCTCATCTGGTACATTATGAATTATGAGCCAAATGTGCAATCTAGCCCGTGTGACGCTACGAAGCCACGGCTGTTCACGTCAACAAGACGGAATATCGCATAAAATGGAGTTCTCTCGCGCGCGGTGCTTTCGTTATAACTTCAATCAGGCAGGAAACCTGCCCGTGCACGTCGCAGCGTGACACATCCGCTTGGTTTCATTGGAGAATCGTGTTGCGATTCGCGATGTTCCCTGCCGAGCTGCTGCCGCATGTGTCGTCAAAACAAGCACTGACCAATTGATTGTCCGTGGGAGCTCGGTTCACGGAGTCGGACCTTGAAGCCAGTTCCAGTCATGTGTTGCTGGGCAGCCATAAACACGGCGGAAACTGCAGCAGAAGCCGTTCATCTTCGGACAAAGAACGTTCTGCCTCATTTAGCTCGTCTTTTCCTGGTTGCGACGTACATCGACGATGTCTTCAGACTGTTCTCTCAATGGAGCTATCAGCGAGACCACATGGACTACACGTGGGGCTGTGGTTACGCAGCAGCTTCATTGTTCATCCTTATCAACATTTTTCTGCAAGCGTACGGATCCGTGATGATTCTCTCTCGGTGTCGAGTCAAACTGGCGTGCTCCGTTCTAGGCGTCTCAATTTCGATGCAGCTTATCGCGTACTGCTCCTACAAGGATATTCGTCAAAGTCTGCGTGTTCTTGCGCTGATCGGGTCTCTCGCGCTCCTCTTCGCTGAGAGAATTAGTGAAGAGAGAACCGTTCTGCCAGGCCTGCCGAAATTCGGAGACAGAAGACGAAAAGCTTGCCTACAGCTCGTCGGTCGTGTGTTGGTTCTGCTCTTGCTCCTGACACTGCCCCCAGATGACTCCACGCCTGTTCGAATGTTTATGGAAGGGGCTGCCTTCATTATGACCTTCTTTGTGACGTTCGGCTATAAGACGAGGTTGAGTGCTCTCGTGCTATCTCTTTGGTTATTCGCGCAAAACTGGTATTTCCATCCTTTTTGGAGATTCACGAGGGAAGCGTCGATTCGTGACGAACTTAAATATGATTTTTTCATCACACTCTCCATCGTTGGAGGACTCTTGATGATCGTCGCTGCGGGGCCCGGCGACATGAGCATAGACGAGCGCAAGAAACTTTACTGACCGAGAGGAACATTTTGGAGTCGTTATTCCCGCTCCAGCATGAGGGGGCCCCGATTAGAACACGGAAACTTGTGAATAACCAATCATCTATATATTTGCGAAATTTTATCCTGATAATCTGACAATCTTCTTGAGACTTGTGGGGAAGAATGCGAATTCAAGTTTGTTTGTGATGAAATACATGGTCGAGATCCCGGAGAGTAAGAGTTTTCTCTCTCCCATTCGGAGTCCAAGTTGAGCTCGAGCAGTCGACAAAAGGTTCCGGTGACATCGGAGCTTATATCACCGCCGATCAGATCAGTAATCCGAAAGGCGAAATATGACTGAGGAACGCTAGAGAAACACGGAGGATGTATCGGTTGCTCTCATCGCAAGGAGACTAGGTTCACCGTATATATGAACTCAGGCAGTATCTGGGAGAATCAGACAGCCGTGCAGCAGAATCTGTAGACCGAGATCTGTCCCCAAGGCCGTTGGAGATCACGCTCACAGTGTCACGTTCGACGGAGAGTAAATCGATGCTGCAACCTCCGACCATACGCGAGAATCCGAAACGAGAAGTGCAAGGGCTAGCGAACATTCAGCTCAGCCATCTGACGGACACCCCACCAATCAGCTGAGTGTGGCCCGAGCCACACTCAGCGAGTGTTCCTGTGGCGAGTATTCCTCGGAAATGTACCAGGTTCGCCTTCCGGAAAGTCGAGAAAACACGAGATCATCGGCATCTTCTGTGAGGCGCTCGCTCTGTCCTTTCCGATTGAATTGATGCGCAAGTTATGTAATTCGCATCGTGATGATCCTCGGCTGCGTATTTACGGTCCGAGGACAATTTCGAGCGGTAGCCGCGTCGGCGTTGTCAGACAGAAAATCAGTTGAGATAAGACCATCCTCCGCTTCCTTGACTTATCCTAGAATAGTCTTCCATTCGCTAGAGGCCGAGTAGGTGCATGGAATCTGTTATTCGTCTCGTGAGTAATTCTGTTTACTCCGTCGTGATTCCCACCCAAAGTCAATAATTAGACTGTCATTAGAATAGATGGTCCCTTGGGGGAATTCCGCGCTGGCGCCTGGTGCGCATACGCAGTCGAGGGCTCCTCGAACATGTTTTTCGACGACAAATACAGCGGCAATCCGCTGATTACTTCGAGGCCTTCGAGAATCTTATGGTCAGATGAATCTAATCAGCGGATCGCCCCCCCCCTCGACACTTACGACTTCCCGTACTCCCCATGTTATAGCAGGACCCAGGTATCGATCCGCCCCCCTTGGAGGACTCCTTGATCCGCCCCTACCCCCATTCCCCAGCTCTGGACGCAAGACTCTTCGACTTCAGGACTAGAAACTTTACTGCACATACAAAATTCGCTGGATTCAGAGGCTGACCCACAAGGGAACATAGAAAACGGGGAACGAAATTCCGCAATCGATTCCAATAACTCCAGGCGGCGCACAGTGTGGCCAAACCCGATTTTAGGCGGCAGAAATTGAAAATGAAAAATCTTGAAAATTTATGTCGTGGCGTTTTGGAGGAAGTATGGGGATCTCGGAAACACACACCAATCAGAAACAAAGCACTTGTATCTCTTTGGAGAGACTCCGGAAAGAGGTAGTTTTCTTTGCTCCGGACTGTCTTTTTTTCCTTCCGATTCGTGCTGACGCTCGAGATTCCGTGGAATCGATTAAGGAAGGAGCAAACACCGAATCGTGAGTGAGATTGAGTCTGAAACTTCACGTTTAGCGTTTCATTCGTTGAGAATATGCAAATCAGAAGTTTTTCTTAGTGCATCTTTTTTGCGAAAAAAAACAGATTTTCATGAAATTTCACCGTCGAGGAAGTATATGGACCAGGGCGGACCCGGGGGGCTCATTGGGCGGAAAATCTTCTTTCACCCTCCCTCCTTCCATTTCCGAAGTAAAAAAACCAGCAAGTTTTGGCAAACGTGAATGCGTGCTGTTCTCAGATATTCGAATTTGGGTGCCCCGGAGGACATTTGCGGAGACAATCTTCAACTCCCGGAAGAACAAGTGCATCGACGGGTTGGAGAAACTCATTTTGAGTCATGCTCATGTTGAAATTGAGCAACTAAGCAATAGATCTCACATCAGAAAGCAGATTAGCAGGCATGTGTCCCGAGTGAGGAAAAACTCGGGAGACATAATTCGAAAGCGGAACGGTTCTTCGTTAAAGGAGCTGAATCGCTGGAAGCCAAAAACTTCGATTTCATCGTGCACTACACTGAGCTACCCGCACAAGAAGACGTGCCCGTGGAGCCGGAACCTTCGAAAGCGTCTCAAGGGACACCACGAGCGGGACGACCAGCGAAAAATTTCTCGGACTCGGCAGAGAGGACAAAACGGAACAAAGTCAAAGATCTTCTGCCTGCCGGACCTGCTAAGTTATTGTACGCGGCTTTCCGAGGAGCTCAGAGCCAGAAATTTCCTCTGATGACTGGTACGAGTTCGTACCACGAGAATAATCTGAAAAACTCACTGAAATAATTTCTGCCGCCTAAAATCGGATATGGCCACACTGTGCGGCGCTTCGACGCATCACCAGCCATCCTCTTCATTTAGGAGAAAGCTCCTGTGCGGGCTCCAAGCGGCATCCCAATCCTGGTCCTCCAGGAGGTTACGTACATTCTCGAGAGGGAGAGAGCGAACGGGCTTTGTCAGCGTCGTCCCTCTGCACTTTTGATCGGGCTGGGACGAAACTTCCGATGATCCATGTCTCGATCCAAACTGCTCGGAGCCGTCCGCGAACTCAATGTTCCGCAGAAGTTATCGTTGCACACGAGATTCGTGCAGCAGGTCTGAGACTGCCCAACATTGCACTGAAAAATATCGACTTTGTCAAATGATCTCGATTTATCAGAGAGAAAAAATCACATTGACCATCTTCCGAAAATGAGTGCTCGCGAAGCGATCAAAGACTCAGTTAAGATGCTCAAGCTCACCCTCTGTCCATATCCGGCGCAGAAAGCAGATTGTCTGCGAACTCGGCGCTCGCTCGCCACGCACATCATTAGCGCAACGAGGACATAAATAGTTACGATGTTCACACGCGTCATCTTCGAACTGCAGGAGAGGGAAGAAAAATTCAGTTTGCTGAGTTACAGACAGGGGGTCTGTTATCCAAAGGCTCCATGACATTCCATAGACCTTGATGATCGCCGGTGACTCCTGGACGATGGTCACTGATATTAGCCCCGCAACTTCCAATTTTGCTTTGACAAGAAAACCTCTCCGTGAGTCAAACACAGTGTGCGATCCCCTGCTGAGAGGTGTATCGGACTGACCGTCTCGCGACCCCCTACAGTGACCTTACACGCGGAACATTTTGCAACTTTCACCTTCATCCGTAGCGCTTCGCGACATGGATCTTTCCAGACAAACACCGGAGGAAATTCATGAGTAATGCCAGCCACAATAAAGGTGTTCCGGAAGCGACTCACGAGCTCCCCGGAGTTTCTCGGAGAAGGACGATGGAATCTATCGAGCTCCATTAGATCTGTACACCTCCTCGTAGGTGCTCCCCGAGCTCTCTGAACAGGCATGGAAGCCTCGCCTAGTAGATGCATAGCCCCTGACAGGCCCAGACGGCGGGGTGTGAGCACTACCTTGACCCTGACGAGTTTCGAGAGCACCGCATCATAGACACCCGAGCAATGAAAACGTCGTAGCGTCGATCAAACGTCCCCCGTGGACGGAACCGTATTCGCACTGCTCCGGTATCTAGGTATAAACTCGGTGTAGGATCTCGGTATTAACTAAGCACGTGTCCTCCTTTTCTACTTACCTATCACTGATGAAGTCTGGCGCGGCTCACGAAGTCTTTCTCTTTAAAGCAGAATGATCCTCTCACACCGCTTGATTTCCCCTCTCACTCAATGTCTTCTCTTCACTGGATTCACTGTCAGCAGTCAGATTCAATCTAGACAGCTGACGGGAACACGCCGTTGCGTTCGACACGAACTTCCCCTCCCACAGAAAAATCGGTGTGATTCCGATCGACTCATTTTTCTGGTAACGATTCCAATGTCACTTCGTGCCGCAACGTTCTCGCTCCCTCTAGGTCAGACGGGGGAAGGAGTCAGAACCCGCCTGAAGCGCATTCAAGGGTGGAACTTCGACAGACACAACTCGGAAATCATGTCCTTCGGTACCCCCTCATCTGCGGTCGGGTTCTGATCGTCCGGGGAGCTTCATACGTGTATCTCAATCAATATGGCGAACCGTCGCGGTGTCAACAAGGTGAAGAGGAACCTCTTCGACGGATTTCGACTCGCCTCTGGGGAACGATTCCCCGATAACGATTCGGTCATTTGGACCGAGTTCCGTCCATGGAAATCGTCGGCTATAGGAGTTTCTCTGAACTTGTAATTGCTTGGTGTCATGACGACGCGCAGGGACCGCTTCCGTGACGATTCAGATTTCTGAATTTCAATGCATTCTAAATAGATGACTGACTCGACGTCACGTGTTTGTCACCGTAGGACGGAGCTTTTTCACAATATCCGGTTGCGACATTGAAGGTTTTTGAGATCGCATTGCGGAATAACAATCCAGGAATTCTTCTGGAATTCGGTATTTTTTTATTCTTCTGCATAGATGAATACGCACCGGAATCGCAAGGAGATCTCAATGGGAATCGTTCTCTAGTAAACGATTCGAGGAGGATTATCCGAGCTTGGTGGGAGCCCTTTCCGAAGAGACAATTCTTCTCTGTTATTGGGTCATCCTCGCTCCTTCCCGAATGATCGAGATGACGAAATCCGATAGCGCGTCAACAACATTTGAATAGTACGTGCTAATGCGAGAACTTCGCGGACGTCGCTGAGACGACCCCGAGAAGGGCGGAAAGCGCCTCACGCGCTCTCTGATCGATTTGGATGACTGTTGATTTGCGAAGTGCGAAGGTCGGCCTCCCCTTTGCCCCATGATCTTCTAATCCGGAAGAAAGGGGTATCTCGGTTCCGCAAGCGATCGCGAAGCTTCTCTGACGGAATGTGATATCACTGAAAGAAAATCGGAGAACGAATCCTCCGGACCCGATGACGTCGAATCGATCCCGCGAGAAAACAACCGCTGCAAAACTCCTCGCAAACCGAAAACACCTTATTACGGATCGCTCCGCTGTTTCAGAGCCCTCTTCTGCCAGCAAGGAGCTGAGGGAATTCCGATCTTATCGAAAACGAAAACAGAAATTTACCAAGATGAATCTACTTATTTTATTGTCCTACGTTTTTGGCTACTCGATGCTTGTTCGAGGAACACTCTTGTCGCAGTACACGCGACGAAGGCTCTCAAAATAACAGACAGACCTCCATGTCTCGAAATGGCTCGACGGATTTCTCGAAGCCATCTGAGGCTTCTCGGCCGAGGACTGACGGCTTCGGCGGTATCATATCTAGTATCATTGTAGCAAACAAGACTTTATCGCGGCTCACTTTTTCATCATCGTGTGTGATGACCCTTCCATGAAAATCGTAGAATTTCCGTGAGCCTGAGTGGATCCATGTCTTGAAAAGATATGAGCTCTCATGAGATTTCGTGGAGCTTTTCCGAGATCACATTCAAGTTCGCGCTATCTCACACCCCTTCAATAGATTCTGCAATTCCAAATCGAAATCCTGATCCACAGAGTCGGCGTCGCCCCAGCCCGAGTGTCCCTGTTTTCTGGATAGATGCACCTGCTCGTTTTCCATGCACGTGTAGTTATTCGCCTTTACAGTAGAGGTCTCTCGGGATCACATGAGTAAATTCGAATGGGCTTTCTTCCACCTCGATTGTTCTGATCTACAGCCTGAGCTCGATTCTTTCCACAGCAATCTTACATGACCCACATACCTAAGAAGCAATCACCCAAATCCACACGCGGAAGCCACACATCTCCCTCGATCGAGTTACTAACGATTCTCCGATCGCTCACCTATGGCAGTTATTCCGGCAACCGGACAATCCGCGACCGGAAGTCTCCTCCCGCGGCCGCGCAACAGACACCCGCCTGTGATATCCGTGGGGAATACGAAAGTTCACCGAGCTTCGTACCGAAAAACATTCTATCAAACTAGTCAGTCAGCACATAGATGAAATTAAAAGAGAAATGATCAGACTGTGATTTGAGTTCAGTTTCCACTCGCTATACCCTTGCGCTTGGAGCGGAAAATGCCTGTGAACCATGGAAATTTACAAGAAACCCGGTATGTTTTGAAGCCGATTCCCTCTGGGGTGGGGGGAGCGGACGCATTCCGTGATCCCTATCGGAATCAAAGTCCTCCTAAATGCCGTGTCTTCGACAATAGACACCTCCAGTGATTTCCCGATCAAGCGATACACAATTATGAACGAGCACCCATTCTGACTCGATGATTCCGTAATAAATATCCGCCTTCATCGCCGGATCCTATACGGAGGCCCGTCAAATCAGGAAACCTCGCGTTCGCCCCTATCCTTCGGCGATGATTTCTTCTTATTTACAGTTCTCTCACCAACAGCTCCGCGGAGTTGCGCAAGTCAGAAGCGAATGTGCGTAAGGCCAAACAGTTGTAGCATCAGAAGCTAGAGCAGCTATATCTCCTCACTCGGGGGCTCTCCGCCATCGTCCAGAGGAAAACGCGATGCGTATCATTCGCAAGTTTTCTCAGCGAGCCCTAGTCCGTCAATATCCTCTGACTCCCAATGACAGCGCTTCGCGACGCTCGAATCGATTGAAATGTCCTCATGAGCCTCTCAGAAGCACGAAAACATGATCAAAGAATACCTATTCTCCCCGGAGGAAAAACAACTGGAGCGGCACTCCCGAGCTAATCCACTCCGGCTCGGTCCTCCCCATCGCTGAGACTGTGGCCGACTGAGAGACTCCACCCTCTGTGAACACGTCGCGTATAACGAATGCGATCGAATCAGATATATGCCTTGTCTGATTAGTCGAGCCATTTCTCTCGAGGCTGTCCACCCCGAAACCGGAGATTACATCGAGGGCATTCGAACGCGCCATGGAATTTAAGGTTCGCACAAACTGTGCGAGGGGAATCCCAGTAAGAACCTCGAAGCACCGAAATGATCACCCGGGATACAGCCACAGATTATTAAGGAGGGAATCAGGTTTTTTTTGTACTAAATGCCGCCTGAGCTCATGGTCGATGAGCGCTCGACGAAGGCGACGATACAGACGCCTGTCAAGAGACCGAAGAGAATCAATGGCGCCGGCCGCTGTCCATCTCCCAGAGATCTGAGCCGAGGAATCAGCGTTGAATGCTCGACATGCTGTGAGCGCCGATCTTCACCGACAGTTTCCGCGGCTACCCGCTTCGCGATGCGTCCGCCAATGGAGGTGCCCTGGACAAGGTCATGGGACCGTGAGCCCTTTTTCGAACTCAAGCCGAGTCTCTCAAAGCTTCACCAGCTGACTCCCGCATTTTTTCCGGTGGGAGGACGATGACGTCTCTCGATGATGCATGTTCTCCGTCCCGGAGATCATCGGCCTCCTGTTCTTCCTCGTCGTCACCATCGTCGTTTTCATCTTCGGCATTCTCTGCGCGGTGCTGGCGATCCGGTAGGTTGTGACGTGAACGTCGACCACGACGATTGTGGAGCTGGTCGTCATCATCCTCAAAATCCTCGTCGTAGTCATCTGCATTCTGAGCGAACACGGAGTTCGGTGATTCGTCGTGTCTACGAAACTTCTTCAACTTCTCAGCATCTGGGGCCTCGTCGTCGTCATCGCCGTCGTCCTCTTTATTCTGACCCTGCGACCTAGCCGTATTGGCGATTTCGTCCTTTTCATCCGATGATCCGTCGTCTCCGTCCTCGTCGTCATCCTCCTCGATCGTTTCTCCCGAACGATGGTGTTCGTCTTCTTCCTCATCATCATCGTCGTCATCTTCGTCGAGGTGCCGAATTTTTCCTTGAGCATGGTTGTGGTTGAAAGCCGCATGTCCCGGCTTAGAAGCAGCGGAACCCGCTCGGCGGCATGGCGAAATCGGGTTCATCAGAGGCCGTCGTCGACCGTGAGCCTCCACGATATCCTCAATTTCATCGCCGTCATCGTCCATGATCTCGACGCCATCGTCTCTGGAGATCATAACTCCCACTTCTGTCACATCGGCGATTTCGTCTTCATCGTCGATCTCCTCAACTGCAATAGAGCGAAGTTTCAGGAGAAGCTCCAGGTCTGGATCGATCACACGGTGATCTGGTGGGCTTTCTCCCACGAACGTCGGCATCGTCGACCTAATTATACACGATGATAATTACCCTGTCGAGAATTTCCGTTGGATGCTTCACTGGCCGCATCGCCCTCCGCCTGGCTCTGTGGCGATTCGGAGTCGGATATCTTCAAACGCTTGTAGTCTATGAAGCCGGAGTCGTGGCCTGAGGTGGGAAAGATGACAAAGATTTGAAGATCAGTGAGGAGGGGACAGGTTTGATTATGTTCTCTCAGTCAGAGAATCGAATATATCGGGAAATAACATGGAGCTTACGCGAAATATAGTTATCAGCATAACGTTTTATGCTCGGTTTGCCAGCCAATTGGAGTCTCTGCGCGGAAGAAAATCAAAGTTGAAATGCTCCTCAGGAGCTTTGCGAATTCGGCGAGGGAGGGGTCACAGACCGAAATCGATTAGTAATTAAAAAAGCAAATAATGAGACCTGCTGCAGGGTTAAAGCTGTCGGCTCGGGTTCGTAGGTCGGTGCGGCTTCGACTTCCGAAGCCTGCAGGTTCCCGAGACCGGAATCTACGTATGAGAGTCCGAAACTGGGCTTCGCGGATGGGCTTTGACACGTTCCCGATGACGCCATGGGCTCGCTAGGCGTGTCCGAATCTGACGAAGATTCCTGTGCGTTTTGAACGACTCGGGCTCTTTCAAGCAAAGCACCGGCTACCTCGGAATATTTCTGAGAGATCCCGCTACGAATGACCATCTGGAATCGGAAAGATTCGGATCACAAATCGAGGTATACGACCCCACTCGACCCCTAGTGTCGTTACGGGAGCTTCCGGGAGCTCCTGGATAAGATTAGCGGTGGTACGAATGAGAATCGGCGTCTAACGAACCTTGAGAGTCCTGCTGGGAACCTGCAGACATGGTACTGCTCGTTTGCTTAGCACAATGCTGGAACTCGACGATGGCAGGAAGTCGTCAGGCAGAAAGTGTGCCTGCGAAGCAACGGAATACATAAATACATAGTTTGGTACTCAACTCCGCCCATCAATACTTCCTAGCTGCCGATTCGAGCGGAACGGAGGAACGTTCGACGATGAGAAGAAGCCTGTGGACCCTCGATCTTCGAGTGGAGATTATTATTATCGATTATCTGGGTCATGAGGATATATTCACCTTGCACATGAAATTGGATTTCTTGTTCCGGTATCTTCTTGCTACTGATGATAGCACCACTGGCAGATAGCGCATGTCGCCCGCGACGGGGAATATCTGCGATTCTGCATTCGTCGATCTCGCCGTGCAGTCCCGCACATGGCACGTGTCTGGTTTGTATTTCATGATTCTACGCTACCTTCTGAAAGGGAGAAGAAGAGCGTTAGGATACTAGGATAGTACCGATGATTGGGGGGCAGGCAAGATCGCATCATCGTCGTGAGATACCCGGAGTAGAGCGCATGTCGGTCAGATCGATTCAGAGCTCAGAGGGAAATCTCAGCAAGGGAGCCGGGCTTGGAACCCACCAGTTGTACCACACATAGCCCTACTAGGGAGCAAGGAGAGAAATGAGGAACGATCAATACATGAATCGAGCTATCTTGGGTGACAGTATATTTCGAGGCATCTCACTATTGGATTGAGCACACTTTTCCCCGCGAAATGGAAGACCGATGACATCATCATTCCAGGTTAATTGTCAACGAATTCCGCGACACGTATGCAGGATGGAGAAAATTCTCTCACGGTCAGGAGGAAACTTCGCTGAGGCTTCCATGTTGAGGGCGATCTCTCGCCGGACGCGCGCTCGACACGGACGCGGATATCTCAAATTTTCAGATGATCATCCTCCGACGCACGTATTTAGGAGGGCGATACTCAACATCGATAGACATTCCAATACCTGATCAATCTCTTTCCCCGGACAAACCCGGAGGCGAACAGCAAGGTTCGAGGAATCTACGGCTATCTCATTCCGGTTCCGTAGTCCTCTCTCCAGCTCAGCCGAGATCTGGTGCGAAATAAAGAGAGCAGAACCGATCTCCGGATACCCCGAACGGGCTCTGCCTATTCGAACAGAACAGTCGGAATTGAAGCCCACGGTCGATCTTACATGAGGACGTATCGTCTTTGTTCTCACTCGTTCGACTCGATTCGTGAGAAGTGATTTCTTTCCACCGACAAGCCTACCCTGGCTTTTGAGCCGCCGGTGGAGGCAGCATCGCATCTTTGTAAATAAGCCGGCATCCGTTCCTTAACAAATCCTTCCGAAACCGTTCTGTCGAGGGGGAGAACCGGAAAACACTCCACGGAGTCTCCCCTCTGCCGGGTAGGGGAACTATGAGGAATAAATATCTCGGAAGAGGCAAACAAGCACGGGCTTGCCATCACACGCGTTCATTTCTCGGTGAGCTGGATCGTCAGCTGGTCATGAATGTGATGCCGATCTCCCCAATGGGAAACTACGAGATCCACTGAAGAAATGTGGAACAGAGAAACGAGACAACTACTCCGGAACAGTTCGAACCGGCTTGATTCAGTACAGAGAGTAGGCGCAGCTGTCGGCAGCAGGTGGCCCGACCGATCGTAGCACTTACCAAATCCCGCTCAAGAGAAAAGTTGCCGCTATACCACGCATGGCCTCGAATAGAGAGCGAACCACCAGCAGCAGAAGCGAACAACAGTAGGCAGGCAAGATACAGCAGCATCAAAATACGACGACTAACCAAAACACTCCTCCTCGGAAGCGAGACACTCGCAGACCTCGCAGACCCGACACACAGCAGCAACAACAAGCAGCTGCACAGCGCACATCGATCGTCGTCGTCGGCAGGATCCGAATGTTTACGCTGATGGATGCATTCGCTTCACAGCGCCCGGTGGGATCGGGCGGTCGACAAGAGGTCAAGAAAACAATGGGATCTACGCTCTTCCGAGCGCGACGCGTGAAGAGAGATCCTGGAGAGGCCGATCCGGGCGGCGGCAATGTGTGAAAGCGAAGGGGAGACGGAGACCTCTCATCGACTGGGGACCTGCGGTGCTCGCGAATCTTCGAGGACCAATGAAGATGCAAGGAAAAATATTCGAGGTCCCGAATTCGATCGAGTACCGACGACCGTTCCACTTCGGATGGAACGCTCCATCTAGAGTTAGCTATCTGACCTCAAAATCTCAGAGCCATGATTCATGAGCGAGCACCCCCCCCCCCCCACCAGAGAACAGACTTGCAGGCGAGGCGGCGTTCATCTTAGAACTATAATTGTACGGCCTGCTTTCCGTGTCGTTAAGATTTCCCAATGCTCCTAATACTTGCTTAGGCCCTTTGCCCGCTCAGGAAGTGTCGTAGCGTGTCTCTCGGGCAACCCTGCGGGTCTTCTCCCCGTTGTTCCCTCGAGCTCTGACTCCAATGGTATGCTATATACTCTTGTATGCAGATCGGTTCCCTTCGTTCACACATGGATCCTGAATCCTTGTACATATCTGCTTTGCCGGGGAAGGACTCAGGTATCGAACCGGCACTCCAGGATCTCATGTAGATGGTGACACCGATCGGATCGCGAGATGGCCGATTGTCCGATTCGTCGGATTCATGCTGAGAGCCTCTTCCTAGAAGATATTTGATATCGTTATTCGCCTTTCTTACCGCTATGGAGGCTGCCCTCAGGGGATGCTTCGGTAGAGCCTGATCATGCCCGATCGATTGTCTGGGCTCCCTAAGCAGACCGAAGGAGTTAAAACAACGAAACACTGGCCCACCAGCCGCGAGTGACGACGGCATGGAGGCTGTTGCTAAATATGACTTCACCGCCTCTAAGAAGGATGAGCTCAGCTTCAAGAAAACGAAGGTACTGAAGGTGTTGAATAAAGAAGACGATCCGAATTGGTTCCTTGTGGAGAGCGAGGGAGAAAAAGGACTCGTCCCCGCAACTTACCTCGAGATGAAGAACCATGACTGGTACTACGGTCGTTTGAGGCGTCTCGATGCAGAAAAACTGCTCGGCGGAAAGCACCTCGGCGCTTTCCTGATTCGCCTCAGTGAGACTCAACCGGAAGAGTTCTCTCTTTCAGTCAAGTGCGAAGACAAAGTGAGACACTTCAAAGTTCTGAGAGGCGCTCCGGGAATGTTCAACATCTGGGATATCAAGTTCCCCTCTCTGAACGAGCTGATAGACTATCACCGAAGAAATGAAGCAGAGCGGATGGTCAAGCTGAAGGACATGCATCCCGATGACAGGCTGCTCCGCGCGAAATTCGATTACACTCCTAAACAAGGCGACGAGCTCAAATTCCGCGCCGGGGATATCATCCTAGCTGTGGATCGTAGCGATTCCGATTGGTGGGAGGGTGAAATCGGGCATGCAAAAGGGAAGTTTCCGGCGGTCTACGTTGAAGCTTTCAAGCCGGGCTAATGAGGCAGGATTCTGGAGGCTTTGTATCGATTCCATCAGGGAAGGCAGACTCGGAGGGATCAGGAAATAAAGGGTGTGGAGGCGAGAATGCCCTGCTTCCGTTTTCATTCCGTAATTTCGATCCGGTCTCGAAGATGACTTTGCAGGCTGACAGTAGAACTCTGCGAAGGTCACTCCCAAATCTGACGCGAGCAAGCTCACTATTATTCCGCTTCTCTGGCAAGCTTCTCAAGCGATGTCCAATGGGATCTCAAAATCGCCCGGTAACCCCGATCCCGCGACAGTCGGGGGATGCATCACATCTCCGGACAGGAGCGTGCCTGGGAATCGTCTCCCGCCGCGGTGGAATTCAAGACTCTCGCCTGAGCCACGAGCTCCCCCGGGAGTTATGGGGATCCGAGATTTCAATCTCACGCTTCTCCAGAGGTACCTCTCTCCATATCGAGAGCAACCGTCTACATACAATTCCGAATTGGCTGGGATCGCTTCAAAGGCACCGTTGTGAAAAGGAATCGTTCTTGGCACTTGCAAGTTCAGGAACTTCGGCGTCGCACTCGAAAGTCTTGGATCGAGGAAAACCCTAGAGGGTCGCAACATTCTTTGCAAGGGCCGGGAATGAGAAAGATTGCTAATCCGGAGACCATGGGGAAATCCGGGTCCCGTCTGCGCGGAACGCCATGTCTTGCCTCGAGGGAAAAATGTGGAACGCTTCACGATTTTGCGTGTCATCCTTGCGCAGGGGCCATGCTAATCTTCTCTGTATCGTTCCAATTTTAGTATGTGTACCCGAAGGTACAAACTACTGATGCCTGCTCGGTCCTCTTATACTGACCGGAATGACTGAGATGGTGTTCTTCGTTCCCGAAGAACCTCCTAATGATATTCGCCACGCTCGCGGAATATTTATGCGTCTTTTCAGGCCGGGCATTCTCTCATCCTTGCTCGATGACCTGTTCTATAACGAACTGATTCGACGTGGTCGGTCCTCACGATGCATATTCCGTTTTCTCTGTCCCTCAACGCCCATCGAGCTCGTGGTGATGGCCGTCTCATCTTGGTGCCGAACCGAGAGAGGGTTGGGGTTGAGGTTCGAGGCAGGCGCCTCCGAATCGAGTACAGATCATAGCCCGATAGCTCGGATGAGCTTCGATATTGATAATGTTATTATTCATCCAATATTCACGCTCAACGAGCCTCTGCTTGATCGGCAACGCCTTGCCTAGAGCGCTCACGGAGACAATGAGACCCTTGGAACCAAGAGCGTCGGATCAAGCAAGGAGATCAGTTTTGCCAAAAGGACGCTGTCTCTCCCGGGCTTCTCCGCCCCAAAAAAACGGGAGTCGTCCACGGGGCTCCCTTCATCTTCGGCTGCGCGACGGAGTAGAATCCTCAAGCCTAGGCAAAGCGGCTTCTCTAACGTCCACTTTCCGCGCACAGAGCCCGTGAGGTTCATGAACGCCGTAAAGTTTCCCTCCAGACGATTCGATGGAGACACCGATTCGTGCCATCAAAGGAATAAAACTTGATCCTCCGAAGCGATTAACTTAAGGGACGTCGAGAACCGAACTCTCCATCGACGGGAGTGGTACAGAAAAGTAATGCGGATCGATTGGAAGGTTCTCGATCAGGCTTCAATTTCTCGATGCACAGAAAATCAGGAAATGAAATTATTCGAGTCCCGTCTGACTCACGCGCGGGAAAATACATACATTAGCCTCGATGGAAAAATGTGGAACGCTTCACGATTTTGCGTGTCATCCTTGCGCAGGGGCCATGCTAATCTTCTCTGTATCGTTCCAATTTTAGTATGTGTACCCGAAGGTACACTCCACTCAAGCCTGATCGAGGCTCTTATACTGACCGGAGGGTCCGAGATGATTTTCTTCATCCTCGAAGGACCTCCGATGAATATTTGCTCTCCTCACGAGAGTCTCATGCATCTGTTGATGGTAAGTATCCACTCGTATCAGGTTGAAGACCTATTCTGTAACAGGCTGAGTTGGCGTTCTCAGTCAGAACCGATCCTGCTTATCCCTTTTCTGTTCTTCATCGCCCGCACGCATGGGGTGAAGACCGAGTACTCAGGATGCCGAGACAGGGTGCAGGGTTGAGGCGGAGCGTGTCGCAGCGCGTTCGAGTCGATCACAGATCACGGCCTGAGGACCCGAATACTCATGGGCTCCGACACTGATCACAAGGTTAGCATTGATAATTACAATCACAATCACTCGCTTCCATCTTCGGTCAAGGCAAGGCTGTAGATGAGGAGCTATGTAGAAGGTGGGGTCGAGAGGCTCCTCCAGTGCCAAGTCTTTACGTGGGAGGTCTGTTGGGTTTTTGGGAGCCGTCATGGTTCTAGCATAGTATCGATCATTCTCCCGAGCGATTGAGTCTGGGGATGCAGAGAACAAAAAGGTCCTCATCGACGGGAGGAGAGCTCGAAGTTTGTGCGGGTCGATAGGGAAGTTCTCGATGGGGCTTTGGTTTCTCGACACAAAGCCTCAAGGGGAACTTTCAGATCCCCCCTCGTTATGGAGCGCCGATGTGTTACGTCCACGAATTCAAGAGTGGTCCTACTTCTGAGATCGAAACGGAGCTTGAGCACGTTGTCGATGAGGAAGTTTCCGATGAGGCTTCGATTACGGTAATCACAAAGCCACAAGGGGAACTTTCGCATCGACAGCGAGAGCCTCCAATTTCGCAGGCACTCCACTTACTTTGTGTATCCCTTCATCCCTTGAAGCGGCTCGATGATCCCGATGCTGCGACTCATCTCCTTCGCTGTTGTGACAGAATGAAAAGAAAATTCGCGATGAGGCTTTGTTTTTTCCGAACGCCAAAGCCTCAAGGGGAACTTTCGTGTCAGTCTGCCAAGATGTGCTTGAGACTGAGCTCTACCAGTTGCTCTTAAGTAGTGAGAATCCGTGGTGAGGTCGGTTATCTTCCTGAATCGTTCAAAGTTCATATATCGACTCCCTCGAAAGAGAAGCTCTAATCTGGGGCGAATCGCGATTCAGCTCTGTGATCGAGATAACATGCTCGGAAGCGTTCATCGATTCGAACTCTCTGACTCATGTATCGAGTACAAAGAGATTACAGCGTCGAATCAGCTGGCGAGAGATGACTCTGATATGACAAAAGAGTCCGATCGACGCACCTGAGTATTCGTTCATGAGCTCGGGAAGCTCGATTTTCCGAAAGGAGAGATTTCACCGTGGGGATGGGACCACGAGCTCATGATCTCTCTGGGGATACTGATATCCTCAACGCGAACTCCGAGCTTCTTTTATCACCGTGAGCGCCGCGGATCCTCATTCACACGATGAGCTCTCAGTGGAATTTTCCTCTTCAAGTAACATTGCGGAACCCCTCGACCAAGATGGCTTCGAGGGAATCGTGGCAATATCTCAGCGGGAATCGCGATCGCAACCGACGGCTAACCGAATCCGCACCGTTTTCCTGTAATTCCAGAGCATGCAGCGCGAAAGTCGCGATCACGAGTCTTGGAGCTCTGTGAGAGGTTCTGATATCGGTCGATCTGAGCGTATCTCGCATCTCGCTCATAATCATTATTCGTTCAATTTCGGAATTCTCCGAGGCTGCTCAATCACCCCGAGCCTCCTGGCCTCTACCCTCCTATGAGTTTTCGGGCGATCGTCCCTATGCCCTGACCCAACCTATAATCCCGCTAATCATGAACCGCCTTGACAAGGAGCCTTCCCATTGGAGTCGATGAGAAAGGAGTATCCTCCCAGATGCTTAGTGCGGTGAGTGGAGCTGATTTAATATTTTTCGGCGATCCTTCCAGCGTAATGATAATTCAAGTCTGCCGGGCTCCTTCCTTCCAGATTCGTTCTCTCAGATATCAGCGAGCAGGTATTCCGGAGAGTGCTTGGCGCAATGCCTAGATCGGTGGACCGGCGCGGTGGTCAACTTATTCCGTGTCGCTCGAAATTTCTCAAGTGACAGAGCTCCCATCGACTGGTTAGATCTTTCCAGAGATGGGTCGATGTGCATCGAGCCCTGAAGACGCCATGAATTTCTGCAACTGTGTAGTGGGTGAGAAAAATCGACCGTCGATGGTGGGTCGGACTCTCGCTAGAGACCCAATGATGTCACCAATATTCTCCTCGCGAGGAATTCTCAATCTGTCCCTCGGATCCGGGAAGCCAACGAATCGATTCCGCATTTCTAGCTTCATCAGGACAGGGCAAGCCGACGATCTTCGAGAAGTACAGTAACACGCGCCTGTCAATGAAACTCCTTCTCAACCTCTGAACGCGGGGGCAGCGAGTTCATTTTTGATCTTCCCCTAGCTTCCCTTGCGTACTCGGCCCTACCCCCTGGACACCAGCGTCTAGCCCCGGAACGTGACGGTGACCAAAAGGTTCTGTTCTAACTGTCATCCCCGCGATTAGTACGTTCTAGAGGTGTGGCTAGCTGCATGATCTCCGTATGGCCGAGAGGGGACCCTTGAAGGAGATCTAGGTCGCGACCGTGAAGTCCTACACTCATCAGACAGATTCTGAGATTTTAGCCGGACTCGTCATTCGTCAGTCAGAGAGAATCCTCATTCCCACGATGTCGTATAGGATCTTTCTCCTCGAGTCTTCTTTGGGGGAAATCGGAATTGATTGGCATGATTTACGGACTCAGTGTGCTTCATAGATCAGCTACCAATGGAATGAGCGCTACTGTCAACTCCGTGGCGCTCAGCCGTCGTCTCGACCCCGGGAAAACTGGGGTACCTACTTCGATGAGGAAAGATCAAGTCTTTGATGGTCGAGTTTCTATGATCAAGATGTAAAAAAAGACGAAAAACTCGGAGCCCCCTCGCTTGCTTACCGATCGAGTCCTACGGTAAGGATCGTTCAATTGATCACGGAGGCCGACCTATCCGAGCATGACGATTGTATGAATGCAGCCTTGCGGGAATCTAGCGACGAAAGGCCACGGCGGCATACTTCATGGATGGGGCTCGGATAATCCCTGGTGGATCATGAGGTGAATGTAATGCAGGAAGACGGAAATCGACGGGGAGGGCCCTGAACACCATGCGAGATATTTTCTACCATGAAGCATAGGGTCACCCTCTTCGGCGCTCACTCGAACATCACTTAGCTCCGATCCGTAGCAATGATCAGCAGTGGAATCTTCCAGTTTTCCCAACGGAAGGCGGACGCTTGCCCGACGAACATTCTAGTGAAAAACGGACTGAAAATTGGACATTCGCGAAAACGAGCATTCCGTGTTATAGCAGGTGATCCGATGCTACTAGTCTCCATACTGAATCAATAGGAATCTCCTCAAGCTGGATTGCGACAATTTATGTCACCGATCCGTCGCGAGATTTTCGGACGCCGAGATGAAGCGTCCTACTTTGGCGCTTCATAGAAAGGTGCAAGGCAGAAGCTCATCACAGGGAACACCGATGGACCGACGGATGTAGTTCGCAGTAGCGAATTTCCACTGCAATCAATGTCCCTCAGCATCATTCCTGTGGCGAGCTGACTGAAGAAAGATGTATACCTGGCTCCTTGTCCTGTAATCCATGGTGATGAGTGTCACTGTAAGGAGCTCCTCCTGTAGTCGGGAACCATAGATTCACTTCCATGTACCGTCTCACGCATAGAAAGTCGAGATCGCTCAATGTGACGACAAGGCAAAGGCGGAAGATTCCATGAAGCGGCGAGTTTCCGGTGGACGCTTTTGTGATTCTCGACACTCCAAGAAAATCCTTGGTTACTTAATTGGAGGCGTCAACTCAGTTCGTACAGAAGCTCAGAGCCGTCTCAAAGACGGAAGGCGAAATCCCATCCTTTAGTGCGATAGATCCCCGAGATCGTACTCAATTAAGTACCCCGAACGACGCTCTGTTTTCGCTTCCAGCTCGGATCGAACGAGTAAGGGTGAAGCTCCTCGTGTCTTCCGATCCCAGAGGCTTCTTGTGGAACAAAAGAGAACTCTAGAAAACTCAAGCGCTACCACCGAAAGCGTCGCGCTTCCTTCTCATTGTCAGATGAATTGTATTTGGGCGGTGGTCCGGGTTCCGCGTGAAGGACAAGGTTTTCATGAAGCCACCTTTGGCAATGGCTCCTTGGGGTTCTTTTCATTCCATTCAAGCTAAACGACTGCATGTCAAGCAACTCGCCCTTGAGGTAGCCTGAATCTCGGAGAGACCCGAGAGGTTTCGAATAGACGCTGAACCGCAAACACAAAGGATGAAGCACGCTTATATGTCTGCCTATACCCGTGGGAGCCGCCCGGCGGCGATGGATGGCTTGTCGGGGAAACACAGAATGGGTCCTTCAGGAAGTCTCGAGTGAGGCGGCGATTTTCAATCCCACAGACTGGGACATGGATCAGTGATGATAACCCTGGGCTCCTCCGCAGGGTGGATCGTTCAGATCGCTTGTCGCAAATCGTTCAGCTCAAAGTCCAGAATAGAGCAGGTGGTGGGGAGGTACGGCAGCGGCTCCCCTTCTCAAGCCGGACTACTCACGGCACAGAGCCGTCGCTGATCCCCATGATCCGACCGACCTCCTCGGCTGATACTCCGTGGAGTGTGAGTTTTTCCCCCTTACGAATAGCAGATCATTCTGATGCAGGGAGTGGCGAGCTGTCACGCGCCTGTAAAAACGTCGACCTGTTCCCCGGAAATTGGCTCAATTCATTCGGTACGATGCATCCTTCGCATGGCAGCCGAAGAATTCCGTACCAAATCTCATTGATTCGGCTCGACAGACGCAGACTTGTTCTCTCCTAACCCTGGGATTCCGAGCCCTCCATCTTCCTTCAAGCTCCGCTTGTACCCGCGCTCTAACATTCACGCTCCGAGTCCAGAAAGCCGATAGGAATGTGCGTCCACATTCTTCTCTCGCACCCCCCCCCCTTCCGAGAGTCGCGAGCATTCAGAACACTGGTGGGTCTGTCGGACTTCGATGGAGCTCTGTACCGAGTACTCGCGGCGGGAGAGAGGGTCGCCCACTACCTTCAGGAATTCGCGCGGGGCGCGCTTGGATTCCGAAATTCACGCTCTTCTTCATTGGAGGGGTCGGTGAGGAACCCCCTCGCCCATGAATGCCTCCACCGAAATGAATAAAACCAGGGATCTTCCCATGTTCTTTCACTGGTGTCCCTCGAACTGACGAGCAGCAGACTCAAACCAACTCGTATCTTCTGTCGAGAACGAACGCGCCGATTTCTCGAATCATGTCTACCAACTCCCTTTTCGGAATTCACCGAGACTTGTTGACCTGCAAGATGTGCAATTTGAAGTTCGTGACAAGATACCATCTACGACAGCACTGTGCGACACACCACTCAGGAGAAGCCAAAAGCTTGCCGTCAGCGGTAAGAGGTCGACACTTTTGTCATGACTGCGGAGCCGCGTTCCCCGGAGAGCAGGAGCTAAAAACACATCTACGGACCCATGTGGGCTTCCCGCAATACGCGTGCAACGAGTGCAACTCGATGTTCGTCAGCGAAGAGACTCTGCGACTGCACACCAGGCTACACAGCACGAAACCCTATGCCTGTAACGAGTGTAGCTCGGAGTTCGCGCTCCGCAGTACTCTAAGGCGACACTACATCCAGAAACATGATTACCCCGATCTTCCGCCACCCTCGGATAATCACTGTATCGATAGCCTGAACAGCAACGCCGCCCTTGCAAGTCGACCGTCCTACCCTGCGAAGCGGGTTTTCCGTTTGCCAGTCAGAACTGCTCCCTTGAAAGCACCCACAAGCAGGTCTCGAATCGCTGCTACTCAACACTGCTCACCTATCTTTGCGCAACTCCGACGATAAAAGCGCGAGACAGCAGAGCGCAGGATTCCGGGTCGCCGCGCAGGCCCATCAAGCCATCCGCCGATAAGAATCCGACAAGCTCTCGGATCGCCATCGCAAGTCTCCGCGGGATGACACAAAAGCGATCGTTTCGCTCCCGCCGATTTTTCGTTCGATAATTTGCGGTAAAATATATTGTATTACGACGCTATCTATGTTCTCCCTCCTGATATTCGACCCAGTCGCTCAAATCCTCTTCCTGAATGGAAAATCGCTAGGCGGAATCCGCTGTTCGAAACAATAAATACAGACTCTCATGTCGATTCAGACCCACATCACAGTGCTCTTCTTCAATGTGCTTCCTACGACGGGAAGTTAAAGAAAAATGTATATATCGGCAGCCTTCGATTGCTCGGTGACGGTGCTCGCCGTCAGCTTCGGTCCTGGGCAGATGCAAGAACGAGAAACCCTTGATGATTGGGTGTCATAGCTTAAGACTCGAGCAGTGGCGTCCATGGGATTCTTCTTGGGGGGGGGCTAGATCGGATCCTCGCGTGGAGCTGATTTCCAACATGGCGACCTGCTCCTATACCTTGGCATCACGAACTCTCGATCTGGGACGGGGCTATAGCCCCCTAGCCCCCCCCCTTCGCGGACGCGCCCGGACTCGAGCGGAAGGCCGTCGGCACCCACAAATTCGGGAAAAGTCGCTTTTGTGAGAGTTTAGCATTTTCTGAGCGAAATCGCAGTTGTCGGTGCTCCCCAGAACCTGAGAAAACCCGTACTTCCCGGTAAGCAATCACCACAGATGGACACGAGACCTTGCCTCTTTCCGAGTGACTTTGAATTCATTCTCCTAAGTCTATCGAGCAGCACTCTTATCAAAGCTCTCGGGGCTCCGGCCTTGCAGGGTCCGCAAACTCATGGCGCTATAATATATTTCGAACTATTATGATCGGACTCGGGAGCCTCTCTCGCTCCCGATATGATCATTCATCGACGGGGCCGTGGGGGGAAGATCGCGGGCCCGGGAAACATTCAGACGAGGGCCCCTCTTCATGATCGCCTCGCGTCCCTCACTTCGTTTGTTGAGGAGGATACTCGATAAAAACAACGAAACGCGGGTCAAGGCACAGAAGAGGTAGACGACCGCAGTTCTCTAGAGAACGAATGCTTCATGAGTAATTCCAAATGCTGAAAACTTCGGACTCCTCTACTTCACTTCGTCTGAAGCAGTGGTTGTCAAATGGGGAGCCCAGGGCGTAGGCTGGGGAGCCCAGACCCTCAAGCTTCTCTTGGAGTCGGGGATTTCCGAGTTCGGGTGGTTCTAGAAGGTTCATTGGATGTGATTCGGATGCTGTGTATTTCAGAAGCTGGAATCAATTTTTTGCGAAACACCGGGTATCGTAATCCTGCATAGTTACGCCTATGAATCCACAGCAAGCGATCAATCATCACTTCCTCGCGTCGACTAGGGCAGCCGAAGTTTCTTTCTACCCGCTCAGGGTAGCCGCGGAGGTCTGGAATTACCTAAGCGGTATAAAGAGGGACAGTTGAGACGATTGCTCTAATTGACAGCGCATTTTAAACGGGGATCATGTTATTAAGAATACAGAGCCGCAAACCGAGGAGGAATCCACTCAAGTCCTGAGTGATGGGATTCGTAGTCACAAAGTTTGATCCATGGTCTCCAATCGGTGACATTGACTGCGCGGCGTTGTCAAATCATATGAGCTCAAAATACTTTTCGAATGTCCATAGAAGGGTTAGGACCTTGCAACCGAGACCGGGATTTCCTGCTGCGTTGATACTCAATTAAATCGCGGATTCCATCTCGTGGGGGACGTGGAAAAGATCCTGACACGTTAAAAACACGGCGACTCTTACGAAGAGGATCCCGATTTGAGCCCGTGTTCGTGCTACACAACTGTCAATCCCTCCCTCTGATGACGCTGCGTAGATTTTCGCTATTACCGCTTCCGCCACACATCTGCGGACTCGCAAGTGTCGAAATCTTCGAGAAGTCGACAATGATATGAGATCGCTTTTCCGGAGCATCGACCTGTCTCTTCGGAGGATATGGCTTCTTGAAGATTTGTGGCTCTACCGCGAGAGATGGGGCAGCTCTCACAGCAGTGTCGGGCCATGATTGAGTTGGAGGCGGTACACGGAATAAGAGTGCGCCAGGATCCTTTGGCTCGCCCCGGTTGTTCGACATGGATGTGTTCCTCATGAGAATCGGTGGAATAAAACTCGGGGTGGGCACCAGTGGAATGTGCCGTTTCCTGGGTTTATCTTTTTCGACTGGAGTTTCGTTCTTCTGAACCGCGCTTTGTAGCGGCAATGATAAGCTTGGTGCAGACGATCGCGCTTCGAGCCGAGGAACGACCTCTTCCCGCGCGATCGGTGCGACAGGAAGCGACGGAGGTGGGTACGGCTTTTTGAACAAGGGCTCTCCGGATTGGGGGTCTCGATTTCCCGAGGGCATTTCACTTGTAGGTGGCTGATCAATCATTGCTCGTTTGACTGTGGTTTTCATTCTCGCTAATCGTCGAGGTGGCGTCGCTTTCGCTTCAGGCGCCTTCGGGGGTTCTACAGGAGTCGTAGGAGCAGATTCCTTGTTGAGTGATGATCCCAGCCTCGGCTCGGCAGCCGATTCACTGCGTTCTGTCAGGGACGGCAAGAGACGCGATTGATTCGGTTCCCGATTGGACGTGATGGGTATTAGAGGAGGCAGAGGCGGAAGAGGCGATTGACTCGCCGGCGGGGCATTCTGGATCGACAGGACGGAGGAGGGGGCGGAGGTGACCCCGGGAGTATTCAGCGCTCGCGGTATCGAGGGGGCAGATACGGATCGTGAAGACTTCAGACTTGACGAGTATGGCGGCGGCGGTTTGAAAGGAATGTTCACTGAAAGGTTTGGATTGGAAAGCCGCGAGAGTCCGTAGGGCGGGGGTGGTTGTAGAAGGGGGGCAGATGGACTCGGAAGCGGGATGAGACCAGTTGCTGGACGAGGGGCCGTAGGGAGAGGCGCGGGGCTTGGATGGAATGGCACATCTTGGAATGATTTCCTCACAGGCACTGTCACGGCCCCGGACATGAGCGGCGGCGTATTCGAGAACGGCAGAATCTCCTTCAGCTGAAAGTGGCTTGGAGGTGATAGGACATCGACTGTCGGTGGCGGTAAAGTTTTTGGACCAAGATCCGGAACCGCAGGGGGTGTGCGGGATGTCGAGTTGAGATTCCATGAGAGAAGTGGCATAAGCAGCTCTCCGTGTTGAGGGTCCTGAGAGGAAGGAATCGTCAGTGGATTTCCGCTGCAATCAGTGGAGAACAGAAGAGTTATCCCAAGACGACATGATTATATTGCGATACTCACTGGAATCCGTTTCTGATTCACATTGCTCTCCTGCAAGGGCTCGATATCGAAAGTAGGCGCTTCGCAGCAGTTTTCGTCGTCAGACCAATCGAAAGTCGGCAGAACCCGCGGGATCCTCGAGCCGGAGACTTCCATGTTCCCCTGCTGACGAATTTTCAAATGACTTCTCGTAGCTCATTCGGAAAATCTACACCGATCAGAAGCATTCTTATTTTCCTGGATTCCTAGACTCTCGACACGAGCATCGAATGATTCGTTGAGTTTGAGATTCTCCTGATACGGGGTTTGACTGACCTGCGGGTCTTCCTCTGATACATCTTCGACGCGAGTCTTTGTCGCTGCTGATGGAGATCCCCACCACGGTATGGTCAATTCCATGGCGCCACGAGGAGCGTGGAGACCCTTATCGATTCCGTTTGAGTAAGTTCTTAGGGAATTCATTCTCCCCAGTCTCTGTGCAAACGCTTCCGGTCCCTGTCAATTCCGGAAAAGTCCGTGAACCGTGTTCACACCTGGGGTCACGGCACCATCGAACTGTCGTGACGTTTAGAGACTTGATTCGACATCGAGCTTCATCTGCTCTGCAGCGAAGGCCAACACCTGCGAACATTCGATCTCAGTTAATTTGGGTCGGATGAGGCTATGAGCATGGACGTATCAGATTCCTGATGGAGGGACTTCGACCCGTCGCACAGTGGGGCCAAATCGGATTTCAGGTGGACATGAGTGTTCCACGTAATTTTTCAGATTTCTAAGGTTTTTGGAGTCTGAAATGGAGCGGAGGAAGACTACTGAAAGCATTTCCAACACCGCAGGGAGCGGGATGAGCTCACAATAAGAGAAAAAAACATGATATGATTAATCGTGGCAGGAGATCACTTTTTGTTCTACTCGGATTCCTTCAGCTCCGTTAAACTCAATCATCGACAGCAAAAGCTCGAGCCAGCGGAAGCTGCCTCACTCAGAGCTCACTCGGAGCCCTCTGAATTCTCTGCTGTGGGTCCAGCATCGTCGTCTCCGATCGATTCAACATCTTCCGTTAATGAGTGGTAGTCGTGTAAGCATCGCACCTCTGCATCCGGAGATTCCTCTTTTTCCGTGGGAATCGCCGCATAGAGACTATAAGGGAATCTGAAGATCTTGGTGGATATGAGTTGAAGGACATTGTCGCTCTCTGTTCGCTCCCCAGTTACCTCTGGGCACGAGTCAACGCCGCGCCAAGTCGCGACGCTTACATCTCCGAACGGATAAGAGCGTCAATCGTCTCCGACGCTGATTCGGATTCGAAAAACTACATGAGAATGGTCCCGATCTACGAGAACAGATCCCAACTGTGGACAGACAGTGTGACTTGACCGGAATCATGTGGGATTGCGAGATCAGGACGGGAACTGAGCGCAGAAAATAATTTTCCCCCAATTCGAGGGCACAAAGCATCTTCATTTCCGAGCATAACCGATTGGGGGGGGGAATTCATAAAAATTGTCGTCAAAAAAATTTCAATTTGATTCTCGCAAGCGCCAGGGTGGCTGGGGGATGCGGGAAAAGCGGTAATCATGGTTCTCTCGGGACTTTCAGAGTCTTACGAACATTTTCAAACCCATCACCGATCAAAATTCCGGGATGGATTTCCATGGACTTTCGTCCTCCTAAAATTCGATTTGGCCCCGCTGTGCGACGGGAGATCCATGATCGCGCGTAAGTTCGTGGATATGACTCACGCTACCGTACAACCGGGAGTCCGACGATTTCCACGCGGACAACGATCCCCAGTGGCTCCAGGAACTCGGAAAGGTCTTCAACATCCATCGAACAACCTCCCCGCATGTTACTCATTATGAGCGGGACATGATGGAGGTCCGCTCGTACCCGGTCAAGGGATGTCAACAACCCACCTGCTGTTGACTCCTGAGATCTTTCTTCGAGAACACAATTTATCATTCACTGATCGACGATTACTCAGATCATCTTTTTAGCGAGAACGTTATCCGGTCACATAGCGTCTGCTCCTCTCAGTGTTCGAATGCGACGACTTTCAGTCGTCTTCTAAATTACTCGTGTTTTCTAGCGAAGCTGTGGTGGCGCCCTCTAGGGCCACCGCTCTTGGTTCTCTGAAACGCGCATGTTCTGACGTGAGAGTACTCCGAGAGAGAATTTTCCGGGAGACGGCGTGTGCGGGGACGACCGTCGAAGAGGTCCAGTATCTTAGGTCGTCTTGCAGAATTCCCTTTTCGAGACTCCGGATCGGGAACTCCGAGACGAAATTCAAAATCATCAATCTTCGACCTCTTGAGGCATCCGGGGACGCTCTCACTTTTTTTCCATGACAACACATCCATGTAGGTTGTAGGTTGATGCGTCTGGGGTTGAGGGCTCATAGCAGGAAGGCGGAACAGAGACTGATTGGCTCGCGAATTGATGGACTACCGGAGCATCGAAGAGATTGCCGGCAGCACCCTTCTTCCAGCGCCCTTCGCCGAGATATCGCTACATAATATAAATTGAGACCACAAGCCAGGGACCACAAGGGAGGGATCACTTGCTCTATATCCGTTTTCCCTCGAGCCGTCTGTAACATGCATCGAGCTCCCGGCGCTTTTGGAAAACATCGAGTACGCCATCGCGAGTTCTCATGCCGCTAGAGCTGTCGGTTCGTTCGAGTGGGCTCGGCTGCCTCCCGACACTGGACTCGACTGGATAGATCTCCTCCCCGCCGCGTTCTTTTCGTAGAAGGCGGTGTTGTTTTTTTGCTCATCGGTCGAGTTGCCGACCAGTGCTCTCTTCACGGTGAGCGGGATATCCAGTCGGAATTTCGATGTTGTTTTCGTTGTTTCACGAGGTGGAGCCAAACTCAGCCGCATACGAGATGATTCTCTCCCGCTTGAAAGCGACGAGCTTCAGAACGAACGCAAAGAAGGTCGACTTTTGAAACGAGAAGTGAGAGTTACGTCGCAATCATGGAGAGTCACTCAGACATCAGGACTGCATTGTCTGAGACCATAAAAGGTCCAGTTGATACCATGGCTATAGTTGAGACAACAAATGTTCGGATCGAGTAGAAAAATTTATTGAACGAGCGACGCAGTCTTTCGCAGCGGCTGTTTGGATTGGGAGGAGACGGAACTTGACATGGATACGAGGTGAAACATGATTTTGCTGGGAGGTAGGTTGGAATCATCCAACAAGCAGCTTAGGAGTCGAAGAGTGTCTGTCCAAAGTGGCTACAACTGAACAGGGGAACCGCGCACGCTAGCGATTCTGCCCGCTTCGGATCCCATTTGCGATACCAGCTTGACGTCGGAGGAGCCGGGGCCGATAATTAATCGGACGGACCCGGCTAGAGTCGCGAAGCTGGTGCTGCAAAGCTCCTTCAGTGAGTCCGCGTCGGCTTCGAGTAGTGGAGCGCGGCACCTATGCGGGATACGCTTGCGCAAGCAGCTGAGTGGAGTGGTTCCGGGAGGGGAACGGGAGACTCGTTCCGCGACGCTAGAGGTCCCATTCGAAGGAGTGACGGCAACGTCTAGGCTAGCGGTACCATGGTTTTCCGGCAGCGATTGCGACAAATCAGGATGGTGATGCCTCCTCCGGATGAAGGGTCTTCTGAGGGTGGTGCGGAGAGCGACTTCCGAGCCCCATTCAAGAGGAGCGAGATGCTCAGCGTCTCGCGAGCTCGCACGGCGTCGTAGACTCTTTCCGGTGATGAGCATTGGATTGCATCTCCAGCACAAGTGTTGCGAAGAGCCGGCGTGTCCCCTCAAGTTTACCCGCGATTCCCTCTTCCCGAAGACCGGTGCTCCGCATCCAGTACACCAACAACGATTCCTACCGCTGATGCTCGACATGCTCCTTGGATCTTCTGCATGGCGAGTTGAGGAAGGCTCATGACGGTGGTATTTCATGATGGAGTTCATGTTGCGACGCTGGTAGATGAACATGTCGCGTCGGCTCCTGGGAACAATGCAGGCAGACATGATGGATGAGAACGACCGTGAGAGCCTCGTGAAGAACTCTCGGAGACCCTTGAAACTGTACAAAAGCCGGACAGAGAGTCGCTAGAAGAGCTCGGGCAGGGTGCTGATTCCGACTGGAACCTCAGTGCACTGGTGAACGAGTTTTATACGCACTCAGAGACTCTGAGATTTTGAGATCTACCATTGAGTGAGGGGGTTGCGCACTATTCGCTGATCAATACGCTCATGCGGAATCCGCGGCTCGTAAAATCTCGGGACCCTAGGGGTTGCGCGGGGTAGTGGGGTTCGGCTATTCGGATTCCGCGGGATGCTCCGATGAGGAATTTCTGGTCGTAAGATGTGCCTCCTAATTGATCATTTTCGAAATTCGAAATCCGGAGCGAGCGAATGAATGAGAATTCCTCTCGCAGGCATTAATGAAATGAGGCACCTTTGCTGCTGCTCCGGTATGCGGGGTTCGATCTCTCCGGGATATCCGTTCTAAAGTCATGTCATGTAGAGTTTCTGTGTTCAAGCAAGATGGATGTTCTGCATGGGAAAGCCGAAATTTATCATGAGGAGAGCTATCAAATCGATGGGAGCGGCGTCGTCTCAGCAAGTTCCCGTGCCAACGGAAATGACCGCAGCGTAGGGATGGAGACCTCGGTTCCTTGGAGTGCTTCTGCTCGCTGTGCAGAATCATGCATTTTTCATCACTGGTGTCAGGAGGTTCTCTTGTCCGTGTGCGACGAAGATGAAGAAAGCAAGCACGGCATAAACACATAGAGTGCCACCGGGCGGAATTTTCCGGAATTCCGGGAGAACTGAGGGACGCCGCGTCCCTCAGTGGCACTCAATGTGTTTTAACACATTCCTTTGCGGAGGTTGTGCAACTCACATGCTTAGCTCTGCCATTCACCAGCTGGCGGAGCAAGTGGGGTTGATGTCGCCAAGGAAAAATAAATTGGTCGCTTATGGGAAGTGTTTCGTCTCTTGGATCAGCCGTCCGACTCGCGGAAAACTGCGAGACCTTCCCCGGAGTACCTCTGCCTCCCCAATCGTCACTCACTCGGCGGAGAGTTTGCCGGAGACGGCAGTCCGCCTCGCAGAGAACTTCGAAGCATTCCCTTCGCATTCGAATTCGTCGCAGACCTCGACTACTTTGAGCTCAGTCGGCGCAAGCGATGCGGCTAGGGCTCCGGAAAGAATAATTCCCACCACGATTTGGAGGAAACATATATCGACGAGGATTGAACCAAAAATTATCATATACCGAATACCGATGGTGATTGCATACGGACATCATATTTTGCGGATTCATGCATATAATCATGATCTGTTTCGTCATCGGGTGCTCCGTGGTGACGGGCTCTCCGTATTCTCGGGATCTATCCCAATTCAAGGGTTTCCCCAATCAGGTTCCAGAAGTACTGCTCGGTTCCTTGGTGGAACTCCAACGTTTATCCAACCCTCTCAGTCCATGCGCGAGATTGACGCCGAGGAGCCGGAGCCTGCGGTCTAGCGACCGGACGAGCAGGATGTGGCCCAGAAAACAGTGACCTCATCGAGCCATCGGTGCAGATCGAAGAAAAGAATCCCGGAGGATAGAAGCAGTGTAGATGCGAAATGTATAGTAATTTATGTACAGGTATCGTTGAAATTCTGAAGTCATCCTATCACGGCCTGTGAAGCCACCCGTCCGTCATCGAAGCTCCGTCGAGTCGAGCAAAGCTAAGACCTGGCTCGAAGCGTCAATGTCTCCTTTGATGCAATATTGTGCGCTATTGAGGCCCATACTGTCGAGGAAGTATCTGTAGTTCACCATCAGAGAGCACGAGTTGTTCAAGCCACGGAGTGAAGTGTCAGCCATCCAATTGATCCGCCACAGGGTTGCCCCGTTTTTCAGATGGAAATTCGCTGCAATCCGAAAGAAAGCATCATCCAGGCTGCTCCCTCCAATCGGAGAAACAGGAATTTCGGAAAAAGGGATACCCTGCCGATAAGATGGGCTCCACCAGCAAGAAGATCCCTGTATCCACCCACCGACTCCATTCAGGGCGAAGCCTCGGTGTTTCTCTCTGAACAGGTATTGTGCGCAAAGTCTCATCAAGGGTTCCTTCAATCGTTCTTTGAGCGTCTCATTTTTGTACCACAGATGGCTTTTGATCATCTCATAGAGCATGGCTGTTGCCTCACCGGCGTCTTCCTCTTCCGTGATCGTCTCCAGCTCATCAACAGTGAACGGACAGCTTCGTTCTTTCCGGGATGCCTGAAGTGAATCCAAATCTATAAAGGGACCTCTTTGATAATCCACTTTCGATAGTCGACCGAGCTCGACTCGAGTTAAACCACAGAAAATGAGCGCGCGGGAGCGAGGGATTCCGGAGCGATCTCTTCAACTCACTTGAGCGAGGCAGGTGAGTATCCAGTCCCTGAAACCCGGTATAGGTGATAGCGTGGAGAACGTTGACAGGCTTGGATGTTCAGCTTGTAGATCTTGCACGGCGTTCTTGATCAGGTATCTCCCGAGCTCTATGCCTTGGAGACCTTTTTGTGTAGATGTGATAGAATAGAATATAGCGGCATTTATCCGGGAGGGTTCTTCCAGGTTTTCCATGGATGAGGGGAGCGCCATGGCTTGCAGGGAACTCGTTGATTCCAGAGACTGCTGGTGCTGAACAATCTCCTGGAGAGCAGCGTGAAGGGGTTGAATTAGATTTAGAAATATCAGAACTCGTGTTTCAGTCGATGCGAGGCTCTCTACTCACTTTTATGCTTTCCGCTACGTGCTGCATCAGTGCGGTGTGCAGAACCACAATAGGCTCATTGGGCATGGTAGAATGACAGAAAACAAAACATCTCCGATAGGGTCCCACACGACGTTTCAAATCGAGCCAACCCCGCACCGGGTGCACGGCTTCGTACTCTGATATCTGGGGGCATAGGACTATTCAGAGGATGCGCGCGGGCGACTCGCAGATCTATCGCTCCTTCAAAATATGCTTGTGTATGTCTCGAGATCGCTCGCTCACCTTCTGCAGCATCTGACATGAGCTCTGCCACGTAATTCGCTCCACTTTCATCAGACCGGCTGAGAACCACACGGAGAGCAATTCTTTCAATTGGTTACTCATCGTCCGCAAGCCTGCTAGATCTGAGTTCGCGTTCTTCGCCAGAATATCCTGAAAACATGCTCGAATCGTAGATATTTCGAAATTCCACTCAACTCAGAGGACTATCCATCAGTATACAGAATCCGGACACTCAGGAACGCTCGAAACCGTACGTACCAACATGTGACCGCGAAGGTCGACGAGGAACTTCACTCCTCCATCGACCTTGCCGATTTGTTGAAATAAATCCATGTACTTCGGAGTGAGCGCCTGTCTGAGCTTCTCTTCCAGTCGAACGATGGGGATATCCTGTCACGGAATATCATCCCGAGAGATTAGCTACGCGCTAAGCAATCGTTGGCGGAGGATCAGAGGCGTGTGCGGGCGGAATGAATTGATCAAGACTCGTCTTCAATACCTTAGGGTCCTCATTCTTAAAGGTATCGAGGTATCCTTGCGCTGCGCCGCAAACGCTCCTTCGATCTACATCGAAGTCTGTGGCCAGCTTCTGCATGAATATCATCTGATCATCTTCAGATAAGGTCAAGTATCGTCTGCAGAGTTCACTGACGAGCTGTGGATTATCGACAAAACTTGAAGCATAGAATTGAACAAGTTCAAACAAAATAGATTCTCGAGAGGTTATTGCTCTGGTCCCGCTGTAAAACCTCTCAGGACCCCAGCAATAAATGGGAACCCCGATCTGGTACGACATTGCCGAATGGGACAGGGCGTCCGGGAAATTCTGAGACATACCTGAGAATTTTGTGGCGCCCTGGGGTCCTTCGGGAGGAGCGTGTCTTTAAGCAGTCTTTCAATACTAGAGGACAACAACCGATCCATGGGTCTCTGAGTGGAGAGTTTCAACAATAGCAGCGAGTTCTGAAACGAGTTCCATCAGTTCTCAGGATGCGGATGCAAGCACTCAGAAGGGGCGGTACTTTATTGAGTCAGGATTTGAGTCACGAGCCGACACTTGTCCAGAGAAGTACCTCCGACTGGGCGTTGTGTCCCGGATGAGAGAACCTCTACCAGGTTTCTCGCAGAAAGGTGGAAGCGTTTCTTAGATACCGATCCAATCGTTCTCTAGGCAGCTCACGTTTCGGGAGCGTACCCACATCCCTCTTTCTGGGTCATACTTGTTTCTAGCTGCCCGGTGGACTGTTTTCAAAGGACAGAATCGCCCTCTTTGGACTTGTATCGAGAAAATAAGCAATCGCTTCGGTTTTTCAGAGGGACCGCCAGACTTCGACGGACCCCGCGACGCGCATCTCCGTTGAAGCGTACATCGCTTGAATAAGGATAACCGATGACGCACGAATCAATGGGGTGAGCGGGGGCAGGGAATATCCCTCCTACTCTAATCTGTGTCGGCCAGACGAGCATGTGCTCATGTACCAGAATTGAGACCCACCGCATCTGACGCGAGGGAGATGGAGAGAATCACAGAATTCGACGCTGCAGGTTTCGATCCGCTAATCTGCACTTCCAGGCGGGATCCTCCGGGGACCCCTTTTTTTCCAAATTCTAGCATTTCATGAGTTAACGGTCTCTTTCCTCTCGGGGTGGAACTCTCGAACGCTTCAGAAACTGAGTCCCGCCAGCCGCGTACAGCATTCATGCTGTCAAATTTCATGATACCTCCACTAGCCGCTGTTCTGATCATCGATCATTTTTGATTATCCTGTCCCACTCCTACTTTCTCACATTTGGATCTCACCATGGATGCATGGCAGAGCTGCTCGCTTTCAAATCAGGTGAGAGCGCTTAGTGATTCGCCACCGGGCCCGATCCCTGGCACTCGGCCATGCAGGTTGGAGAAAGCACCGGATCATTGGGAGCTCATTCTAGAGAAAAACTTACTGCCGGTGCTCCGATATATTTCGGACGAGATTCCGTTGAGAATCCAGAGCTTAAAAATGACGCGCCTCTCGGAGTCTCACAGCAACAGGAGTTCAACGGCTCGTAGTGTCGGGTGATACGACTGCTCGAGAGTACCTAGTAGACCAGTCGGCTCATTCCTCTGCCTCACCTTCAGCATACTGCTCTGACTCGGGCGGAGGGCGCTGCTCTCTGGAAACAAGCTCTGTTTTCAAACAGAATCGACGTTCTGCTCACGCGAAGGTCCCCGCTTGCCGACGAGCAACGCTGTCTATGCGGAACGACTCGTCATCTGGTATGTTTCTTAGATAATCTTCAAGAAGACGGGAGATTGTCTCGGCATGGGGAATCCTCTTTTAAGAAACAGTTCGCTATCTCGAAGGGCTCTCACGACGGGCACTGAATCACGATCAGCTGTGTGACATCAGCTGGTAGTACACACGTTCGACCACCGGGAGGATAAGGTCCCTGTCTGCAGTTCCGCTCTTTTTAATAAATCGTCCTCGAGTACTCAGTCAGTAAATTGAGTCGACGATTTGATGCTTCACGGATATAACAACACACTGTGAATATTGGGACGCATGATGGAACAGGGGATCCTATAACCCTCTCCACCGAATGCATTCATCCTGGAGTGAGAGGGAGAGTGCGCGAATCTATACCTCACGATATACATATCGAGCTAATGCCGTATCGGGCGCTCGTCCTAAACTTGCTTAGGTGTCATAGTCGGTGATTTGATTCGCGGGGGACATTCCTTTCCACTAGTTCATGGCGATGTAATAGCAGGAACCAGAAGGGAGCGGTCCGAGTTCTGGGTTTGAGAGACAGTCGGGACGAGACGTGTTGGCCAAGTTGGTAGAGGGAATTTACCCGCCTTGGGCAATTCAGAAGGCAATCTGAAGAACAGGTTTCGGACTATCGAATCACGACCGGAGGCTCCAGAGCAGCTGTACGTCATTGCTGATCGATCGGGAGCTCCCCGCGAGCACTTTCTCCTCGCAGAGAGCGATACAATCATCCACTGCGTTCGCGTCCACAGACATCTATCCGGCAGAATAGATGTGCATGCAATTGCGGCCGCGGGAAGTAGGACATCTCCTCCGAAAGTCACTCGGTAGGAGAGCAACTAGGGGGCCCACGAATCTCGAAGACGATCCGTGTTCCCGGCTGTATCCGACGAATTCCCAACTCTGGAAACGGGTTTTGTAAGGACACGACCCGGTGCAGAGATACTAACCGTTTCGCATCGGGTGCGCTTGCCCACCCATGCATTCCGATCATCGTCCTCGAAAAATGCCTCCAGACCCCTGCAAATGCTTAATATCTCCGAAAATCGGCGACGGCGTCGTGGCTCGGTAGTTCGCGTCCTCAAGTACCTATCTTGACGACTCGGGGGCGTTCGAGATGACTCCGACTGGTGGTAAGTTCGCTCCAGCGAGGAATAGGATACTTAATCTGATCTCCCTCGAAAACAATAAGTGTTCCATAAGAAGAAAATTCTCCAGGATCCGCAGTCGGATCGAATGTCACGTCGGACCAATGTTCCGCCTCGAAATCCGCGCAGCCACCGGCGACGCTTTCTTTGCAGAGCGGATTGCAGCGTGGGCGTCGGCCCTGGCTCTTCGGCTCCTTGCGGCTGAACGATGGCATGAATAGTTCGTCTCGATCGTCGTCGGGTGTAATTATTCACTCCCAGAGAAGCGTCCCCTCCGTTCGGAGAGTTTACATCGGACTTCTCTCCGAAGAATAACATTCTACAGCCCCGTTACTGTGGCGGAGTTTCTGTGTCTTCATCCGAGTCATCATGAAGTGGGAGCTGTGTCCACGGATCTCGAGCAGCGGATTTGACATGCGAACTCAGCCGGATCCGAATCGATTTAGCTCAACCTTTTCTGAATAGTTTCAATGCCAAACATGAAGAGAGATGCGTATATCGTGACGGTTCCGTCTGAATCGCTTCAGCAATAGGCGAATTTCGGAGAGCTTCCAAAAATCATTCCAAGGATTCCAGAGGAGAAAACGCGGACACACCCCAGAGTCCGCTGTTTGAAAATACGTGAATAAACGGAGGAACAGTGAAACATCAAAGAATGCCTCGTTACGCCATGGATACTGCGCCGATTCAAGTGAACGGCATTTCCGAAGGTGCGTGATCGATTGATTGATTTATATTGATCTCTCATATGCACATATGATCCCCTTCAATTCAGGGGTGACACGTATTGCGCTCACAGATCTCGTTTCTCCCACTGCGTCTCGTACTCAGCTTCTGAACCGAGAGAACTTCGCCGGAATCCCTCCAGGCCAAGCCCTACGAGTGCTACAATGAAGCTTCTCTTCGGTGTAGATCTCCTTATGGAATGATATCGAGCTCGGTAGACTGTAAATAAACCCGTTTTTTCTTCTTCCGGCCAAGGAGCGATGGAATTATTCTTTCCCGTCGGCTCGGGTGGCAGGAAATCCATTCAGATCCCTATCAACGTCATCGCGGGGGTCGGGTTCCGGAGCAGGGTCTGCCATCGTCTTAAGACTTCAGCCCGGCACTTGCCGAAGGGCAGAGAAAGCTTGAGGATAGACTCGGATAGGAATTGCCTTCGGAGCTCTTACGGAGACCCGTTGGAAACACTTCACTTGGAATAGCCGGATTGGGGTCAGCAATCTTCCGCCCGATACAACGTCTTCCCAGAAGGGTATGCGGTGAGGCCGAATCCCTGAATTGCTCAAAGCTTCCGGCAGACCGAAAGTCAATGATACGCAATGCTTACCGAGCGATGGCTGATGTACGCTACATTTATCACAATCATATATTGTGTACTACATATTCTGTAACTAACGTAGGTTGCACGTTTGTCTCAGGGGATCCTGGAGCATAGGTAGCCTCGCAGAGACGACAGGGCAGCGGAACGGTGGGCTCAGCCTAGGGACTGGGAGATAGGATTTCTGTGAGAATCTTCCTTGACATTCGCTGCAGAGCTGGGGATAATCCCTTGTAATCTAGGGAGTCCCCGGAAAAGGCATTCTTCACTCCACATTCATTCGTTGCGCATTGGAGAAAGAGGAGAGTGATGAATGGAAACAATAGACGATCTCGGGAACTTCTCCACTGGAAAGATTATCTCGCTCGACCGAGTCGATATGGAAAACTCCATGATACTGGAAGCGTCCCCATTAGAGAATGGAGTTGAGCAGTCCGATATGATATGATGCAGTTTGAGTACGTGTGGTCTGTAGAACGACAACTTTTCGGAGTGCCTAGTCGTCTGGCTCGAAGACTCAGCCATGGAGTGGATTCCACAAAATGATGCTGGGTAGATGTTGCATGGATTGATTCCGAATTCATAAAAGTGATGGGCAGAAGTTTCTTATGCAGAGTATTTCGAGCGGCGCACATCCATCCGGATCCGGAACAGCTCGATTCAGCGCTTTCCGTCGTATACTCCTTTTATCTTCAAGCTTTCCGAAATAGGAATATGACTGCGTGGTGTCCCTGGGACAAGAGCTCAGAGTGTATCGATCCAGTCCGGCGACCGGTAATTAGCCATACTGCGACAATCGAGTCCCCACGAATGCTCATAGGATGATCCGTACTTCAGAGGGGAGGGTCTCGTCAGGCTGTGAGCGTCCCAGATTCGCCACAAAGGGACCTGAAAATTTGATCCTCATCGCTGTCGTCAGTCGCCACGGTTCAACGCCCAAATGAATATTCACATTCCACTTCCCTGAGGGAGATGTCGGGAACGGCAGCGTAAAAAGTTTCCCACCCACCGGGATGATTTCGGGCATTCTGCCGCAAGTTATATCGACTTCATCCGAAAGTCCTCTCTTCGATCGGTGTATCTGATTGTCCGAGTGCGATAGTGTTCTTTCAGAGCGCCAACGAGCCGCATCCTCCGTGAGTGCGGGGAAGCACCGTCGAACGGCTGAAGAATGATGTAGTCGGAAAATCTCGATAAGGATGAATCGAATCAACATGTTCAGTTCCGAATCTTGGGGGGGGGGCGGAGGGGGTTAACGGGGGTTTGTCCTTCGGGTGGAGAACTCGGGCTTCCGCACAATTCCCACTGTCTCTGAACTTCGGCGAGTTGGTTGTTTTGATACTTTCCGTGCTGAGAAGGATGAGGTGCGGCGATATCGGGAATTAGATCCTTCAAACGGCTGCTGAAGTCATACAGGCGGAGGAACTTCCGAATCGTTCGTCCAAACTGACTTTCGGAATCGTTTGTCCAGACTGACTTTCAAATTCCGATGCTGTACCGATTCAGGCTGGTACCCGTGTTCTCACGATCTCGCTGTGTTACAAGACTCTTCATGGCGGAGAGCTCTCAAGCCGGGAATCTCTGTATGGCTAATTGCACATTATGCATCAAGACAGAGTCTCAAGAAGCTCTCCCTAACAAGATGTCCGTGGCTGGCTTTCGGGATTAGTCACTGGAGAAGTTGATGGGATTTTTTCGCTAATCAACCTTTTGTGAAACGTTCCAAGCTCCTATCCGTGCTACCGGAGTCCCATCGAATGCTCGAGAATGATTGTGCTTGGATGATGCTCATTCCCTGCTCGAACATTAGGAGATCAAAGTTCCGACGCGTTATAAGCGCACTCCCCATGCTTCCTCATCCGGCATGGGTTCTCGCGGCGTGAACTTATTCACTGACGAGACGTCACTTGTCAGCCCATATCCAGTCCACCACGGTGACCGGATGAGCCTCCTTCGACGCAGTACTGGCGCTTGGATCCGTGAAGCATGGTTCTCCGCAGCAGGAGCACGGAGTCCATTTCGACATGGCCTTTTCTTTCCTGATCGAATGGAAGACTTCGGCTCCACACTCAGAGACTAACTCTCATGAGCGAGCTGACGGTGTGTGATTGGCTATCATTTTACGGACATTAGGAGCAATACAGACAATCACGGCGGAGCATTGAGATCCGAATATGTCAAGCAAAGATGTGCCGAGCTCAATATGAAAATTCGATTGACTCTCCAACACAAGGGTCATGCTTGTCGATGCGGAGATCCACCGGTGTCATCACTTATCACTTATCACACATGCAGCCTTCGCTTGCGAGTGATGAGAAATTTGAAATTCGAATTCGAGGTCTGCGGTACCAAATATCGTTCGTCCAAAGCCTGTGATTCCGACACAGCACGGACGATGGCGGATTTTTCGATAAACATACTCTCTTGATGGCTCCCTGCGATTGATAGAGTTCATGATCAAGGATTTTCGACCTAAGTCCTAAAGCCCGCAATAATCCCAGTAGGCATAGCTCTCGCGAATCATCTCAAGACCGTCACACATGATTGCCAAACCGCAGCCTCTTATCCGCTTCACCAAATTACCCCTCACTCCCGTGGCCATTAAGATTACGACCGGGCCTTGGGAAGCTGCCAGATAACCTTCAACGCGTAATTGCAAACGAGAGCATTTATGCGATACCGGGCTGAGTTGCTCCTTTGACTTTTTGGAGCAGTATGTGTGAGGAATTCTGATCGAAGAACCGAGTTTCTAGCGCTCCGGAGCTCAGAGATGATGAAGAGATCGAAGTCGGGTGCAAGACTCCCAGACAGCATAGGTTTCGTGGGAGAGAGAAATGAACAAAATGAGAGGCGTAATGATACGACAAAATTCGGAAACTCACGGAACTCCCAATGAGTCCTTCAAAACACGATTCGATCATACGGGCATGACAACTTTCATTTATTGAGCGCTCCGGTCAAGCTCGATTTCCTTAGAGAAATTAGATGAATTCCGTTCATTTCGACAAGTTTCATAGGAACTTTTTGTTGGCGAAGCTGCCAGGAAACGCCGGGACGTAAGGTTCATAATTCATTCTTACAAGACAGAGGACCCTTCTTCGTTGTTCTCAGACTTCGTTCGGATGGGTCAGCTCCTCCAAAAATTTGTCCAACAGTTCGCATATCGTGTCCACGTTCGCCTTCGTGAAAACCATCGGCGGCTTCAATTTGAGAACATTATTCCATTCGCCCTCCGTGCTCACTAGACAATGCTCCTCTTTGAAACGTCTCGAAACATAGAGGGCTTCGTCGGATGCCGGCTCCTTGGTGACCCGATTTTTCACCAAATCGATGCCAACGAAGAGTCCAGTTCCCCGAACATCACCTATCAATGGCCGGCGTCGCTGTATTTTGCACAGCTCCTCGATCAGATACTGCCCAACATCCAGCGCATGTTGCTGTAAATTCTCGTTCTCGATCACGTCAAGAACCGCATTGGCAATGGCAACCGAAACTGGGTTTCCTCCGTACGTATTGAAATATTCCGCACCTTGAGCTTCGAAGGCACGCGCAATTTCTTGGGTGGTGACAACGCACGCGATCGGATGGCCGTTCCCGATGGGCTTCCCTATCGTGACGATGTCGGGAACGACATCTTGCAACCGGAAAGCCCAGAACTCCGAGCCGACGCGGCCGAAACCGGTTTGTACTTCGTCTGCGATGCATACACCCCCGGCCTCTCGAACGTACTGGTATACGTATTTCAGATAATTCTGAGGGAGCGGGAACTGTCCTCCACACGAAACGAGACTTTCGCAGATGAAGCAAGCGAGACCTCTCTGATTGCTCCTCAGGTTTTCTATGATGGCCCCGACTTCATCGGCGTATAGTTTTCCGATGTCCACTGATTCGTCCTTGATCTGTGATCGTTGGTACTTTCCCCGGTATGAGCACGGCAACGGCGCGACGTGGACTGACTTCTTTTGTTTGTAGCCCTTGATGCGGTTGAACTTGTACGGACTAATGGACACTGTCGACTGCAGATGACCGTGGTACGCACCTTGCACGCAAATAACATCTTTGTTTCCTGTTTTGGCCTTGGCGAGCCGCATGGCGAGGTCGTTAGCTTCCGATCCCGAGTTAAGGAAATAAACAACAGATAGCTGCGGCGGGAAGTATCTCTGGAGCCGTTGAGCGTATAATACGAGGTTGTCGTGAAGGTATCGGGAGTTGGTGGACAGGAGTTGCATTTGTCTGTGGCCTGCGTCTACCACATGTGGATGACAGTGTCCGACATGCGCGACGTTGTTGATGCAGTCCAGGAAGGGAACGTTGTTCTCGTCGAAGAGGTACTGCTTTTCCCCGCGAACGATTTTCAGTGCACCGCTCGATTTGAAGAAGACAGTGCAGTTCTTACCAATGTGTATGTCTCGAAGTCGTAGAGTCTCCTCTTTGGAGATCTTCTCCAGAGGCGACTTTAATTCGTTCGACGCGGCAGAATTCATCACGGCAGGTCTCGTGTGGATTGTCACTCCGGTTGATTGTGAAGTCCTTGATTTGACCGACTTGTGGGGTCTGCTCGAAAAACTAGAACGGTCTTGAACAAACGCGATGACGATCCGCTATCAGGGCAGAAGTAGTCCGGTTAGGAAATCGAGCTTTCGCTGCGTGCACGGTCACTCAGTTGCACTGGAGAATGACTCGAGCTCTTTCACTCTTATGCAGCTGGCTCGTAACAAACAGCTCTCCACTCGGCTCTCTCTCTCAAAGCTCAGTCGGCAGAGAGACCCGATCGAAAACACGCAGCGGTGACGGCAATTCGATGGCGCGAGTGCGGTCGCGAAGAGCACATGGGGTCGTCATAATCTAAACTTCCTAATTATGAAACGCTCGATGTATTCGACGACTCTGCGTGGATCATCATCAGTGGGCTCGAGAGACACCTCGTCGACAATGGACTCTTGAAGCTCGCATTCCTCCGCTTGCGAATCCGACTCGAGAAAAAGCAGCATGGGTGCGGAGTTGCGGAGCACGTGAAGTCCATATAGGGTTCTCGAGACCATTAGAGCTCAAATTACCATCAGGCATCAATGAATGTGCATTTTTCGAAGAAGCGGGGCGAATCCGTTCCGTGTGTTGGACCCGTCGGCCCACATTCCTGATCGACTGATCACCCATCACCGATCACTGATTTGTTTCTGACGCTTTACCACGCGCAAATACGATGCATTACATGCACCAAGAAGCGGAAAGGATCATGCGCATATAGAAGCCTTTACGAGGGAAGACTCAGAATGGAGAACCTCTCCCTGTATTTCTTCGATCATATATCCTCGGAGAGGATATATCAAGGGCTCTCACACCTTGTGAGCTCCATAGGAAGCGTCCACAGTTCCGAATCTCAAACATGCATACCGGTGTGAGGCACCTCGGATGGAGGAGCTCGTTTGAGAATTCGGAACGGTGGCGGCCTGCAGGTTTTCGAGTTCTGACGGCCGGAGCGCTGCGGCATTCAGCGATCGCGATGATGAAAACTTCACGAAGTTCCAGAGCACGAAGCGAAGAATTCGATCAAAAGTAATCACCCCCTCCCTCCAGCGAGTCGTCTAAATGAGCCCACCCGAGACGTCTCGGAGGGCAAGGAGTGGGAGCATAGAGCGAAGAGACGAGCCCCTCCTGGAAATAGACCTCCCTGATACCTATGTGTGTACATTTGTCTATAGAAGAGTATTTCCCCGTCAATGGATTCCGCCCCTCGGCCGGCTCTCCTCTTAAGGTACTCGGAGAACAAAGAGATCATACTCGAATCCAACCTGGAGTAGGAAGTTTTGACCGACAAGTGTCTCGATGTACCAAACCGAAAAACGATCAGTATTATGCAGTCGCAGACCTCCAAGGAATCAGATATCGCTGCGAAAAGGTGCCGCGATGCTTATGCTGTCCCTGCGCTGGAGCGCGGAGGCATCAATTGAGTTCGAGACAAAATAGAATGAACTTAGTATAAGAAACCCGACCGTCGAATGCACCCGGGGGACATTCCTGAATTATTTCGGACTGAGCCGAGCAATAGGGGTGGTGAAAAGAGTCGATGGTCTCTAGCCCGGCTGCCGTAGCTCGGTGGGAAAGTTCTTACGAGAGAATCCCATATCCTTCTCCGGTTCGACGCCTCCTAAGGTCTCGACAAATCCATCACTGATCCGACTACTTACATCCACTCAAAGATGTCGCTGCCCGAGGTTCCGAGGATACAAGACTCCATATCGGAGGTGAGTTCTTCCAATCGCATCGGATGAGAGCTTATCCCGTGCGACTCAATTGACGAGCGGAGGAGAGAAGAACTAAATAGAACTTTGACACCCCCGAAATCGCGAGGCATGAGCCTCCGTGCACGTGAACGTGCCTATGAAAATGCAGTTCTGAGTACGAGCGATCTTGAACGTGAATTCGTTAGTCCATCGCCTACGGCATGTTCAAGGCAAGAAATCTCGATGAAGGGAGCTCTGCTGCCCTAGGACTGAGAAGCTTCTCTGCTGAAGACTTCAAGCTCAGACAAAACCTGCGTATCCCATAAGTCCCGTCGCGGGAATCACCATCGTAATGATCCGACCCCGGCGGAAAAGTCTGGATGGAGGCTGATCGGCTCTAAAGATCCTCGTTTCCGCCGCCACACCGATTACAGTTCCAAGACTCAATACTGCCAAATACATACAGGCAAGGTCGGCATTTTGGAATGATCATCCGATGGGAATACACGAAAAAGCAACCGGAGATTTTCACTGCGAGGCTCAATCTCTGGGGGAGGAGGGGGAAGAACGGACTCAGCAGATCAGAATTCGTTGAGCACAGCTTCCTCTGCTGTCTTGGCAAAATCACGGGATTTGTTCTATGGAAGACGTAGATTGAGCCGGCGCCGTCGCTGCAATGAAGTGTGGGAAACTCGATAATCCTCCTGACTTTTCTTTGAGATTTCCAGGGATCCAGAAGTATGCGATCCATTTTTCGTGGATTCATGGGCGCCATGGAGCGCTCCCTTGTGCTCTATAAGAGGATGGATCGAGTGATGTATTCCCAAGCGCTTCACAAACTCTAAGTGCTCGAAATTTGCAGTTCGCCAGTATTTTCGGTACCGAAGATGAGAATTACGGTGCCAGTCTGCCAGGGATCGAAAGAGAGAGAAGAGCTACACAAAAATAAACGGTGATCCCTCCATCTGGGATGGAATCGGTGAATACGAGTAAGGTATCCATGCTTTCCCGTCTGCGCTGAGGCGGCGGCGAGAAGCAGCTGAGAGATAGCGACGCTCATGAACCTCTCCCACGGAGCCTGAGGCCGATCGACTACATCCCTGGAACAGGTGATCTCAAGGGTTTGACAAAAACGGGGAAGCATGCGGAGTATTTTATCAGTCAGAGGGCAACTCAATTCATTTCCAAGTTTTGCATTCCCGCAAAAGAGTTCTCAGCCACGGTCTCAGCGTTGAGACCTCTCGACAGAGGCCCACATTTTGGGATCGAAACTGGAGACTTACGCGCCCCGCACTTCCGCGAAAGTGGAAGCATCGAGCCGGTGAAGCTCCTCGAACGGTCAATGAGCCGTTCAGACTTCATTGTTCGAGGAGTTACGGGAGGATGTGAGGCGAGCGAGCGGTTTTACAAACGAAATGGCAGCTGAGCCCTCCGGATGGCTCGAGAAAAGAGTCGACTCTGGAGTTTTCCCGGGGTGCTACAATGATAAGTTGGATTCCCTCAGGTGCTTTCGACGTCGCGGTGACGATGGATAGGCATCGTGAGAACGGCATCCCCTCCGGGACTTCTAGCTGCCGTTCTTAAGATTCTGACCACCACTGTATATCAGGAAACGAGCGAGGGACAATCAATCATCCATTCTACTCGACGGAGGAGAATGGCAGCATAGTCGTGTCACGTCCGGAGGAGATGGCCTCTGTTCTTCCATACTCTCTGGGAATGATCACTTCCTCAGGACTGCAAAACGCGGGAACATGGCCCCCGAGCTCTCAGTTCGGCAAAAAAACCGGGAGATCAATGACGGATGCCTCGACACACTCGAAGAGGACATGGTCAGTGGTGTTAGAGCCAATAAAACGGATTTTTCCCCTCCCCCCCCTATCCTCAGGAGTCATAATCAATCATCATGTTCTGAGCGAGTCGCGCTTTCCCTCAAGCCACAATAATATATGATAAGGATAAGCAATGCACCTCCGTATTATCGTTCGGGTCGGAGAAGCTTTGTTCCGAACGGAAGATCGAACTGTCCCAGCGAGGGGCATGGGGAAGCAGTCGCTCGAAGCCGCCGAAAATAGAACTCGATTGATAATTAGGAGCCGGAATCCGCCGACAATATTGAGACGGATCCCGACGACCCAAAGTATGGAGGTCGAATTATAAATCTAAGGCTCACTTCAGCGAGAGAGTCTTGTCCGTCTTTATTCTCTTGGAAAGATCATAGCATTCATGTGTGAAACCGCTTCAATTCTCATGGGCGAGATTAGTTTTAAATTTCCGAAATCAGTCCGGATCCGAGTCGTAGAGCACACCACATAAGCACGTAGTTAAGACATTTATGTGTTAAGATACGGCACCTCGACCGGCTCGTCTGGATTGTAATCATTGAAGTAGTCGTGCTCCAGCGCAGCTACCGCAGGGATCCGGCGAATCGGATTGTAGATGAGGCACTTCTGCAAGAGGTCCAACGCTACACCCGTGACCGGCTTGCAGTGTGCAGACAAGATGTTTGTTTTCCATTTGGGGAAATTCGGCTTGTAATCTGGCATGCTCGTCACCTCGGGCCACTCGCTTTCTGTCGGGGTGCCGAGTGTCCGGAAAATGCGGAACAGCTGATCGATTTCGGAGTCCCCATGGAAGAGGGGTTTCTTGGTGAAAAGCTCGGCAAAGATGCATCCTACCGACCAGATGTCGACTGGCGTGCAATATCTGGGAGAACCAAGAAGTACTTCGGGTGCTCGGTACCATAAAGTGACGACTTCGTGAGTATAAACGCGAACCGGGACGCTAAAAGAACGTGCAAGACCGAAGTCGGCGATTTTCAGTGAGCCATCATTGTTGACCAAGATGTTTTGCGGCTTCAGATCTCGATGCATGATGCGGCGCTGATGACAGTAAACCATGGCATCCATGAGTTGGTACATGAATTGCCGAATTACTGCTTCCGGTAAGAACTCTTTCTTCGGAATGCACGAGTCGAGGTAACGCTTCAAGTCCATTTTCAGAAATTCGAAAACGAGATAGAGCTTGCCTTCAGGGAGAACTGTTTCCACGAGACTGGAAGCAGCGAGAAGGAGTTGTTAGAATGGACCTCCCCGAAATGATTTGAAACACGACGGATTTTCCTCTAGGAACCCTGAGCTGGAATGCCCCTTTTCCGCGCCCACCTGACGATATTCTTGTGCTGTAGCTCCTTGAGTGTTGAGACCTCTCTGATAGCTGTCGAGGGAACGCCCTCATTTTCATTTTCGAGTCGAATCATTTTCATGGCGACTAGTTGATTCGATCGCCTGTCACGTCCTTTGTACACGACACCGTAGGTCCCTGGAAATTATGGAGAAACGCGTGAAGCAGTGAGCAGTGATCGGTGCTCGATGGCGACTCAGACTTAGGTTGTCGGGTGCCTCGAACGAAGCGGAGAAGCGTTCGACGTGACCCTATTCCCAAATTCGAACTCACCCTCGCCAATCTTCTCTATCTTCACGTAGTTCTCCATCGTGACCTGCAACAGGCTACACCTTAGCTCTTCGGAAGCGTCAACCTTTTCTCCGATTCCAACTAGAATAAAAGTAAGGTGCTCGGCCAGCTGGCTCCTCCCCACTACCACCACCACCGCCCCCACCCCCCAGGTCTCCATGTCGAATCTCACGAAAAACTAGCGGAAGCGAAGAAAACATCTTATGACCGTTGGGAGCGGGGGCTATCGTTCGTGAGCTTTTCAAGACTCTACAGCGTTCGTCTTCGAGCTTCGATCATTCAACCGCTCTGTCGGCGGACACGCTCAATCTTGAGCCGCAGATTTTCATTTCTGCATTCCAGGAGGAATATCTTCGAACAGTTAGTAGATTTAGATCATTAAACCTGATTTCCGCCGGGGTGGGAAAAGAAGGGCTACAGTGAGAACTCGGGACAGATGAGTACCCGGCGGAACATGCCGTACGAAGAGATGAGCTCGAGCTCGAATAAACATGGCCGAGATTTCAGGGGGATATACTCCGAATCTTGACGTCCCATTCAATTGGGAGCGACAATTGCTGGAACAGTCGCCCAGGTTTGCCGGGGGAGGTTTACCTATAAATTGTTTCCTTCCGGGAAGCGTTTCGATAGGTTTCGGTCCCTAGATTTCCGTAACGTCTGATGCCACACTAGTCTCCCACCGAACAACTGAGACGTTGGAGTATCTAGGCCGCGTTGACTTCAGGTTTCGTCGGAGATCCGAAAACGGATTTCATGCAAAATTTATGCGCACTCCATCGCCAAGGATTACGACGATAGAATGCAATTCGTTTCGCTCGGACTAGGGTCGGGAAAGTGTAAGGATCTGGTGATTTCACCTCTCCGAAAGGCGAGGCTGTCCCAGCCGTACCGGAGACCGTTGGAAGGAACATTTGAATACTTGACAGGAGTTCGCACGTATGAGATCGTTGTTCTAAACGAATGACACTTACAGTTCTTGACGGATCACCCTTACGGGGTTCACAATGAAGGGGTGAACTATCACCCACGATCGAAGATGGAAATTCGGGAAAATCCTACGAACGACTTGCAGAAGCTGATCGCTGACGACGATAGTTTTGCGCGCTCCCAAAGCGTCCAGGTGGCGCTGCCGACCCACGCGATCACAGCGCGAAAATTCGAAGCTCGGCAGACGAGCCCCTTGCTCGCGCACATCTTCACTGTTTGATTCGACCCCTCGCTTTCGGCGTCCTGGTCTGCCGGAAGATCTCGAACTGCGAGTAACTCAGCCGACCTACTCCCGTATCCCATCGAATGGGTCTCGTCGGCTGTAGGTTAGGGCTTGACTGCGAAATCGTGGCTTTTCCCAGAGGAGAGGAAGCTTATCAATTGCCAGATTGATCACTCCTCGCATGTATCTTGATCCAGACCATTATGGGATTCGAGAATCAATGGCGAGAATCATGATCTAAGATCGGGAAGTTATCGCCTCGCACCGCGTGTAAGTCGAGGGGCTGAGAATCGGCTGCGTGGGAGAATTGTCGTACAATATGCTGCGGAATCGTAGGGGACTTGGTGTGATGGAGCTCAACCCAAAATTTAATACAGCATACGTTTATTGAAATCATCGATATTGGATGAATGATTCATCGATTATAACGTCATCATTGTTCGATCTTCAGTAGAGGGACTCCTTGCAAGATTATGCAATAGATCGTTTGTGCTCCTTGTTGTTATTGACAAATGTTTCATAGAAAAACTTCGCTTTGTAGAGTTCCGGATTCGGTCTATTCCTCAGCCTCGCCTTCGGCCTCTTTCTTGGCACCCAGGGCCCATTCCGGTTTTTCGACCTGCGGAAGGGAGACGAATTAATGCCCGACACCCCAACCCGTGTCATGACTCGACACGTGACAGGCGCTGGGCATAAAATTGATATATCAGTGAAGTCAGGGCGTGTTATCACTCTTCAGCAACAAGCAACTCACTGGCTTGACGTCCTCGGTGAGTTCCTTGAACTCCTTCTTGACTTGCTTGAGTCCGGCACGGAAATCGATTTCTGTCTTGTCTGTTCTGACCTTGAGCTTGTCGAACTTGGACACTTTCTTGAGAGCGGGTTTGACGCTGAAGACAGAGAACCGGTTATATTGAGCGGAGAATTCCCTTCTTCAGCGCTGACGTTCCTAGCGTGAGCTACCCTCCCGAATAGGAAGGGAAGTCAAAGGTCGAATTCCATGGATGATTACGGAACGTTATTCACGGAGAATACTCACAACTTGCCACGAAGATCGTTCACTTGGATATTCAGCTCGTTGATCTGCAAGATTCAATTCTGTGAGTGAATTTCTGACTGTGGGCTTTGTCGACGCTCCCTTTGTTGGCGTGGCGGTTAATTAGCGACTGCGTTGCAACGGGCCATGGTGCAACATTGAACATACAGGGACGAGACTCGACCAAGCTCGAATTGAGTTACGCAAATGAATACGCGAGTTCAGCGTATCATACGGTATCCACTGGACAGTTTCATCTTGTACGAGTACCTGATAGTCCTTTTGTCTCACAATGAATTCCAGATCGTATTTCTCTGACTCCACGGCCAGGATCCGTTGGTAGTATTCTTTGCAGATGGCTTGCAGGTTGGCTAAAGCAGACATAGCATACGGCTTATGTTACACACCACAGAAAGAATAAGACGAGACAACAACATATGACGAGTAACAACATATTTGACAGGAAAATTGACAGATGAAGAAGTGAGGCACGTATATCCGAACGGACAGCTGACGAGATTATGTCGCCGACGCGGACTCCGTTCGAGGCAACGAATGACTCTAGGCGGATCGAGACGTACGTCGGAGCGGAGAAGCGCCAGAGAGGATACAGGAAACTCAGAAAAAAAGAGAGAAATCCACGAAAACTTTCGATGTAAAAAGCTATGGGTCCAGCAGCTCCCAGCGAAGCACGCATTCAAGAATGAGCTGTGTGACTTCGGATTGATTCCCAGTTTTGTTCATCGGCTTTCTGTATACCATACGCGAAGCAAGAGGAGCTCCGATCTCGACGAGCGAGGGGGAAACCTATCCATCAAAGCATCATTGCTCTGCAATGCAAAGGCGCTCTGCGCACCACTCGCTCGAAAGAGCGGAAGAGATTCTCGTTTCAGGACATCACAGGTTTGACACGCATTTTCAGGACGATTTGCATTTTCAGGATGTTTGGCTTTCAGTTTGGAGCAACAAAACTCGAAAAAGCAAAAACAACAGCAATAACAACAACGATTAAAGTGAGTCAGTGGCCATCATCACAACGCTCGGAATCAATAACAGATGGGCAGTACTTCGTCTGTTCAGCTTCCGTCCTTATTTACCAAGAAATCCTTCTGTCGGACTTCGTATTCGAGGTCGTACTTCTTGTCTTCGAGCTCGGTGATGCGTTTCTGGTAATCTTTAAGGATCTGCTGCAGGGTGGCTGGATTTGTCGCAAAACAACAAAACGTGAGTTCCCCGACGAGAGAAAAATCATCAAGAAAAAACCATGCTTCAATACCGCGATTGATCGACTCTTAGACAGTTGCGTCGTCCTGAGCCTGACGACCGTACCGCGAGGTCCAGGCGAAAATTCGCGACTTGCTCCTGATCGACCCGTCAGGAAGCAAAACTCTCGAATCTCTTGTGTTCAGGATCGCTCCAGGCTCAATTTGAATGAGATGAGGGACTGGTGAGGATTTTCCATGACCTTACCTTCGTTGGCGGAATCGACAGGTTTGGGGTTCCCGCAGCGCTGAGCAATCGTCGTCCTTCTCTGTTCGGCCTTGCGTTCCTGTTCTTTCTTCAGCTCATCGGCGGCTTTTTTACGCAGCAGTGCCTGGAGGGAGCCCAGTTTCAGATACGATTGGACAATGGCGAATTCTAGAGAGCTCCTGCAGAGCTCGAGCATTAGCTCGAGTGCCTCAATCCCACTGACCCTGAGTTTCTTCTTCCTTTCCGGTGTCATGAAGCCTCCTTTGCCTCCCTTCTTGGCCTTCGAGGCTTCCTCGAGACGCCGCCTGACCTCGGCCTTCTTGCGCTCCTTCTCCTCCATCTTCCTGATCTCTTCTTCCGACATCTCGGGCATCTTGGTTGTTGGTTGGGGGAAGCTGTACTGAAAAGGGTGTCTGGACATAAATATTGAGGAGAGCGGACCTACATCGAGAGCTACGAAATGGATGCATAATCATTCAAGCTCTTCCAGAGTTCGAATTATTCTCAATCAGGGGACGATTCTGCGGAGGAATTCGGTATAGTGTCTCCGGAAGTTCCGAGTAATTTCCTCTCCGTCAAAGAGGGGAACGGGTTTTTCCCTCGATTCGGAAGAGATGCTTCGCGAGGGCTTCCGTCTTCGGTCGTTGCCGCGAACCAACTCTTGAGAATGGAGTTTCGTATTATAATGTTGCTGTCCGTGTAATAGGAATCAGTCTCCCTTGTTGACATTTAGAGTTTCCTCCTTCCCGGAAGACCTACTATGCGAGAATGTAGGCTTCCTATTGTTCAGCTGGCAATGTTTCCCACCCGAGCGCGACCGAAAGGGCGCTTAGCCGTGTCGCCGGTTGCTCTGCGAGGAAGGTCCGAACCTGGCTGTCTTTCCAAAGTGACCTTCGGTCTCCTTAGAACAGGTGCTCGAAATCTAGCGCTCTCCCTCCGGCCAGCTCAGCGAGAGAGTCAAGCTAAACTGCCCACGTGACCGCAGACTCTGATAAGAGGTTCCCGTGCTGAGCCCTGAGCCTCAATCCAAACAGGTATTGCGCGCAAACTCGTGTTCCCGAAGTCGAGATGCATGTTCGTCGTCCCTCTTTTGGCGAATCCAAACCCGGCTGAGCGGCGAACTCCCAGTCTTTGCAGTGATCCCCAGTACGTAATGGACTTTCTTTGGAGCTTCGAGGACAAAATTTACGACGCAATCGCATCGAAACCGATGTGCGGGGCTCATTCCGGCTGATTAGGCGGCGAACCCAGCCTCGACTCCGATAGCTGTCTTGGCCCAGGGAACGTCGGCGAAGAAGCGAGTTAGAGCGCAATGGGTCCGAGCTCTCCACAAAAGGTTCTCCGCGCTGTTGCTGAGACCAGCAATCAGAGCCCTATCGCGTCGAATGTCCTCTCCTCAGTCAGCTTCCGAGAGAGCGGAAAGAAGTGTACATGCTTTTCTCAAATAGAGAATGAATGCTTTGCAAATACACTGCGTCTCGCTGCTCCTCTCTCTCTCCCTCTCAGGAACGAAGCAGACCCTGTCGGTTTGTCTCTCTGTATCCGGTACAACTTGGTTCGGACGGACTTCCTAGCCTCAGAATTTCCGATGGAGCGTTCAATCGCCCATACGTACTCGAATAATAAGATCGTTCGCATTTGAGGCGCTTCAAATAGCATATCTAGAGACCATGCGAGACTCCGTATAATAGCCGCATCGGAACAGAAAGCCACCCAACATGAAAACGCCAGACAAGAACAACAGAGATTTCTCGTCGAAACGCTCGCCGGGTTTCTCTTCGTAAAGATCGGAGAGCTTCCGGTCGACGGCATCGGCTCAGCAGCTGAGAGTGCGTTGGCTGGACTGATCTCTAAACATATTGAGACTGTTTCTGGCACTTCGATGACAGATTCTCATAACACTCTCAGTTCCGACGACAGACTCGCCCTTCGAATTCAGGAGTATCCAGGAGTACTCTGGTACGCTATTTCCGTTCCTTTGTTCGCAGCTCTATTCCGTTGCTTCACTCCCCCTTGGGTTTCTATCGAAGAGTGTCCGTCCAAACTTATTGCGAAGAGCACAGACGTCCTGATCACAGTATCCAACAGTCAGATCCGTTGTCATCGAGCCCGATTCATTTGAACTGAAGAGCTCCGAGCGTGTTCGGAGCTCCACTTCCGGGTTGAGGCTCGTCGACATCTTGGCATGAACTTACCTCCGAAACAAGCGAGGAGACACTCACAAGTCCCGCACAGATGTCCAACTACGAGCCGTTGGTAGGGACCCTCGATACCATTGTGGGCTCTGGTGAGAGGGCGGGCAAGCGGACGAGCAAGAAGAAAGACCAGACCTCACCCTGGTGCCTGAGCCCTGCCTGGATGTTGGCTGGCCGCTTGGTTGCCATCTAGTGACTGCTAGTGACCTCCATTCAGACCCGGCAGTAGAGAGTCACAGCGCTGTCTTAAAATAGACTCCACCGCAAATCCCCCGTAACACCGAATAAACTTCTCAGGGGATGATCAGCATTTTTGTCGTCAACGATAAGATGTTCAAGTTCTTCCCGAGCGCTCCATCTCTTGTTTCTCCGTGCGGACGAAGTTCATTCGAAGACGGAACGATAAGACTTTGCCGTGATGAATCTCGGTGGAAGGTGGGATGCGAAGGGGACGGCAATGTCTAATCGTGTGGGCATTCAATTAATCAATCAGAAGATGGGACGAACTGCTTTCGCTCCCTCTTATGCCGTACGGAGAGAGCTCTTGAATCGTCGACTTAGGAGCCCACGGCAGAGGCCATCGAGTGTTCTTCCGACAGCATACCTCAGACAGTCACCAGAGGGCCATCTCGGACGCCGAGTCATTGTTATACATAGATCATGATGTCTAATGTAGCTGCGAGAAATTCGGTAGCGAGAGTGGGAGAAGCTCTGTGAGAATGGTGAACATCCGCCTACACTTTTGACTCTATTTGAGAACTACGTACCGGCAGGGGGTTGACGCCGTTCCAGAGGAATTGGATTCGACGAGGTCCCTGGCATCGGTGACTGATTCCATTCGGGCGGAGTTCGCATTGGGAAGCTCAGTCGGATTTGCAAGTCCGCGACCACAAGCTCGTTGTTAAAGGAATCGTAGAGGTCTCTGTCAACGACCGGTCGCGAGCGAGCTGACAAGTGTGAGCGATGGTCAGTCTCATCGCTCAAAAGACTCTGAAGCGAACTCATTCAGACCGGTCGCTTTGAAATCAGTACAAAAACAACACACTTTTATTTAGCAGCAGCTTTCCAAAAAACACCCACGCTCACCTCGAGTCTCGATATTATCTTGAAATTATTTTATTAATACCCATCCGTCATCTGGATAGGGAATTTTCTCGCACGGTCCGGCGGAAAAGAACGAATTCACCGGTCCGCCGTCCCAAGGGTGCGATAATCTCGGAAGCGTCGATGGAATCTCCATGATGACACAAATAATTCAGCGCATTTATCGATGGGCACTCTCACACCGAGGATCCGAACAGTCGCTCCACCTTACGGCTTGATCAGGCAAAGAACTTCCGATCTCGATCCGGTCGGTGTTCGTCACAGAATGACCCTGGAACAAGCTGAGATGAAGACGAATTGCCCTACGGAAGCTTGCTGGTAAACTACTTTCTCTGTGGTACACAAATAAAACGCGCTTATGCAATGAACGTCCGGCGCGTTAATTTCCCCCACCCGATAGCCTCCAACGCCATCGAAACATGAATCATCGGGATGAAAATCTCATCATCGTCTGCCCTGTTAGTGGAGTTAACCAACTTGAACGTCAGAGGCAGCTTTCACCCCGGCCAACAGACGAGCACGCAGATGTCTCGTGTCCTTGAACATTGGATCACGGCGGTTTGTTCTTCCGTATTTTATATGCGAGACTCCTTCGGGAGAGGAATAGCTCGCCTGAAGGAAACCAAATAGCACAGAGCTCGCTCAATCTATGATTCACCCTCGATGGATGTCACGTCGACTGGCCTCAAGGTCAAGACATTTGTGAAACAAAAGTTTCCAGAAGTCCTCAAAGGAGAGCCCACCCACAAGTAGTTTGTCATCTAGATTTGTTTGACGTCGCCTGCCCGAGATGAGAGAAATAGCTGCCAGCCAGCGGTGCTCTCCGTAGAACTGACTCGCGATCAAGCGTTTCAATTCGAGCACGGTACCGCTCCCTCGGTTCGTCAGCTCGAGCTATTGGCGTAGGAAGTGCGGCGAGACTTCAGTACGAATATCGTTCATCGACGAATCGATCCAATAAAATCTCTATCCAATTATGGGGAGCGTACTCAAAAATCGCTGCGAGCATGATGTCTCATAGCGAGACACTCACTCAGTCGCTACAGGTGGAACTATATGGGCCGTCCCTCGCTCCTCAAGAGATAGTGATGTTGTCCCAGAATTGAGAGCCAGATTTACACACTCTACATCGCTCGTGTTTTTAAGAGGTCTTGCCGTTGATAGGCCGTCAGGTAGTTCATTTGCGAAGAGTCGCCTCTCGCTCCTCGCTCGTTCTGAGAGACTCTCCCGGGCGAACGACGCTCGGGAGAATCGCTGTGTGACGTTTGTTGACACACACAAATTGATCGCAGGCGAAAGCATATTCCTGCCGCATGCGGCTTCCCACTCGAGCAGCTGAAGTTTTCGAAGATCGCTCCGGTTCCCGGTTTCAACTCTTTTCAAAAGCGAAGCAATGGCTCCGAGGAATTTCGTCCCAGACGTACCTATTCGGAAAATGAGACACAGGACTTCGAATGACCACCGGTCGGGACTGCAGCTGGATCTCGAGCAGCAACGAAACCTGAATGCGGGAATCACGGGTGGAGCCGGAGTTCATTCTTTTCTCCTACAGCTACGAAGCGCTTCTAGGTCTCAGTCGAAAGAGAGTCAGGTGGCTCTTCAAGCAACGCGAGTGGTTTGACGCTAAACAACAGAGCTCAACCGGCAGAACTACTCGCCGGTCAGCTTGCTGTTCCGTTCGGTGGCCAAATCGATGTAGACCGGCTGAATCGGGCTGACTGGGAGAAATCTCGCATGGGAAAACGAGTCGGAGCACGCGGTCGGGCAGACGAGCGGGCTACGGGCGGGCGGTCGATCAGGCACGCCTGCAGGCGAACACGCTGCTGAGAGAGCGACCCAGCCTGCCGTCTCGTAGGCTGGGTCTACCCACCCATGTGATGCGCTAGCGGTTCATTCTCGAGACGCTGGTATTCTCCTCAAAAGACCGCGACGAGAAGAGCTCCGTGTTCAGCCTTCCGCGCACTCGAATGCCTAAATTTGCAAGTCTGTGGGGCATCGTCCAGGGAATTCAAAGCTCAAAAAACATTCTTCCGGCCTCGATTCAGCAGATCTTTTGGGCTTCGTCGTTCGAAACTCGGGAGGTTCATTCACCTCATCTTCTTCCGTACAGAACCGAATGATCTGACTGAGTGCTACTCGAGTTCCGGATCCGAACCCACAGTTTGTTGGCTTTTGAAGGCGCGGGGTTCCTGTTCAGTTCTGAATGCAGATCTCACTCAGAACGGGCAGCCAATGCTGACGTCTCCCTATTGCTTCCGATGCATGAGGAAAATCATGAAATTTCAATGAGGATGCCGGAGAAGGTGTCCGACTAACGATCTGCTATTTCCTCGAATAATTCCGCTTTCGATCGCGGTCGATCTAGTTGCTGAGCTCTTTCCGCGGACAAGGTCGAAGGAATCCGGTGCACGACTCTCATGACTTCTCGATTACGCCAGAATACTCATAGGAGTTCCCTGATCAACAAAGCAATCTGATCGAGATTTCCCGATTCTCGATACAGATGCAGGGCAGTCGAGTTGAGTCTCGAAGCGATTTGAGCGTTCGATATGAAAATCTATAAGACTCCGGATGAAATCCACATAGATCGGAAGAATCGCGATATGCAATGAATCTGACATCATCCAGAAATTTCCAAAAACGCCAGGAGCGGAGTTTTTGGAATAATGATTTCAGCTCTCAGCGCGGGGCTTCGGTCGTTGAAAAGCCGTCACTCGCACCCGACTCGCGGACGAGATCCCGCTACGGATCCCGGAGAAAACAATCCCCGGAATCGACAGGGTGGCGAGACGCTTCGCGCCTTTCGAAAGACTATACAAACAGTCTACAAACGAGAATCTTGCAAACTCGGAGTCGAAATCGTAGTCGGACGCCTCGAAGAACTCCAAGATGCAGGCTCGCCTCAAATATCTGATGTTCTGCGTGCTTGTTTCGAAGACTTCAGCGTGGAATGATGCGGCAATAAAATCGTGGTCGGACTATCATCGCATCCTAAAGCTCTTGATTGCCGGGGAGCCGATTCTCCTCGTGTACCACGACTTCTCTCACGCATTGGAGGTCTTCAAGAGGTACCCAAACCAACAAATCTGCGTTGAGCCTCGATATACATTGGAGCGCTGTCTCTTCGACAGGATGCTGGTTTTGAGCACTCTCAATGTGCGGAGCTATAAGAAGCGTTATTCAGAGGTTATCCTCCGCCTGTGTCCTCTCGGAACTGTTTACTATTTGCTGAACGATCTTCAAATCCGTGCCTGGTGGTTTGGGGTTTTGCCTCTGTTCTTGCCTCTATCGCCTACAATGAAGAAGGGTCTCTTCTATGGTTTCAAGCATGAGCTGACCAGTCTGAGACCCTATGAGAAGCCAACGTATCCGCCTTCCTGGAAGAGCTCTTTTTACACAGAAAAGGCTTCGATGGTCGACGTCACAGCCCACATGACAGGATCGAGCGGGGGATTCATGTTCTTCTTCGATGTCGGCAACCGCACTCTGGAATCCGGTCAAACGATGTGGCGACAGACGGACGTTAGCATTCAAACAAATTTCGATACTATTGCGTACGATGTCGAAGTACCTCTGGCCATCGGAGTGTACAAACCCCAGAATCCGGCTCTGGTTCAAATGACGGACGAGAACTTCTCCGACGAATACTCAAAAATCGCGGCATTGCTTTTGGGTAGCCTTGTGGCTCTACTGACGCATTTCTCTTCTCCACGAGACACTCTCCTCTACGCGGCCTATGTGACTACGACGTCCGTTATCGCGGCGATTCCGATGAACTTCTCCAAACCAAGCGTCGGGCTCGTGCTATCCTTGGGATGTTGGCTCTTTCTCGGTCAGATTTTCGTTTCCATCATGAAGGGTGAAGTCGTTAAACAAATTTCAATGGGACCTCAGGACAAGATCAGTTTCGTCCATGGCTGCGAAGGAATATATGACGCGGTC